ACTTTCAAACTGTTGACAGGTGATATCTTATCAGATATTATTCAGCCGCTTCATTCATATGTTTCTCCTTGTATATCATCTGGTGGAACGATACGTCAATATAAAAGTTCTATAATACCGTATCTAACAAATATACTCTGTGGTGGACAGGTTGGTAGAGTTAACCTAGTCAATTATCTGTATTCTTAAACATGTTTGTAGTTGAAAAGTTGTACAGTTTCAGATCTTTTTTAACAATTTTTTTTGTGTTTGTCAAAGAAACTTGTTGAAATACCTCGTACTAAGAATTCTATATTCCACCAAAAATATAATATTGAATAAAGCGATTAACAATAATAATATCAGAAATTTGACTTTAATCTTTACAGTATGTGGTTCAGTACAATTTTCAAGATTGACATGACAATATATAAAACGGCCGTAGTAATATAAGGCGTTTCTCAAATAAAGCGCTCGCGAGCGAGACTAATAGGTCCTGCGTTCGAATCCCTCAAGGCGGGATCATGGGTGTACACTACTGAGGAGTTTCACAATAGGACAAAACAGCCGTCCAGTGCTTCGAGGTTTTTCATTGTGATCTAACTTTAATTAACTCATCATATAAACCATTGAAATTATAATCAATGAGTTGAAAATGTTAACATACATTTTTTTTTCTATTTAAAGTAATTTCCTACTAAATTTATTCATTTTTACTATAGAAAAATTCAGATAAACAATACAATGAAGTTTTATTAACAACCCAAAATTAAATTAAATTTTCATTAAATAGATTGTTTTGTAAAGATTACCATTTTAATTGTATACTTGATTTCGAACAGTCAAAATGATAGATAACTAATTCTTTAATTTAAAATCAATTTTAATGATGAACTAATAATGATTAGAAAATCATTCATATTCAATAAACAATAAATGAATATATCTTTGAACTGAGTTTTATACTCCTTAATAGTATACATCGAATATCCTGTAAGAAACTGGATCCAAAAACAGTTATGTTTTATGATAAATTTATTGAAAATTACAATAAAGTTAAATAATTTACTGTTTAAATTAATTAAAAATGAATAATCATCAATTTCCATTGTTGAATATAATAAAACTCATGATCTCAACTCTTTAAATTACTACAATCTCCACAAAACCCCTTCTGATACTAATCAACATATGCTCACTAGTGACTGGCTTCAAGAAATATATCCTGGAGTTCTAATGAGAAGCAGTGACCAGTGGAGTTCAACCGGGTCAGTTGTGAGGTAGTAACTCACTGATGAAGTTGAAGTTAGACATTAACACCGTTGGATGCCGGCCTGCTCAGTGGTCTAACTGATTAAGCGCTTGTCGTGAGACTGAAAAGTCTTGGGTTCGAATCTCGCGGGGTGTAGGATCGTGGATGCGCACTACTGAGGAGTCCCAAAATAGAACGAAACGGTCATCAAATGCTTCCAGGTTTTCCATGGTGGTCTAGCTTCAATTGACTCATGATCTTAACTCTTGAAAACTATATGCAACAAATTAATTGTGAATTTCATTTTACCAGAGTAAATTTTTACTTTATTATAAAAAGAACGAGAACATATCTAATGTTTCACATCAATGAAATTAATACCAAATAATTACTTTATTATTATTATTATATGAATATTTAAAGCTTTAGTAAATCAAAGATAATTTGCGTCTGTACAATTGTCTATAAGTATGTATGTGTGTCGATGTATTTATTCCATTTATTTATAATTTTCATTGAAATTGGACCATAATTATACTCAATTATTTTATGAATTAACTGTACTCGCTTTTCCATATATATATATATATATATATATATATATATATATATATATATATATATATATATATATATATATATATATATACTCTCCCATCAACCGAAATATATGAAACCATTGAATAGTCTAAATGTTAAACAGAATTGTTTGTATGCCATATTGTGTTATGTTACTTGTTTCTCCTACCAATAACATTATTATGCTAACAAAATTTCTAATCATTTAATGCTTTTCTAAAATTTATTTTATTATTGGTCTGTAGAGTTGATTTAAATATAGAATCTATTTATACATATATATATATATATATATATATATATATATATATATATATATATATCCTATATGTATGTACATTATATTCTAGTCAATTTGAAAGAAAAGAATATAAAAAGAAGAGAAAAAAACAACAACAACACAATCCCAGTGTTGTAAACATGTTTGAACACAATTATAAAAAAAAAAGATGTAATTATTATCTTAAATACTATTGTCATTATAATTCAAATTAAATGGGAGAATGTATTTTAATCAAAACAAAAACGCTTATATACCATATATAATAACCGATGAAAATGATACACCATATTTTCTGTCGGTAAACTTATAAAAACTATGATAAATTTATTTGTTTGTTTTTTTTTAAAGAAAAAAAATTATTTAGAATTAATACTAACCACATAAATTTATGAACACATGTTCATTAAATCATTATTTTGTCAACATCTTTTTTAAAAATATTCTTTCTTTTCTTTTTTCTCTTTTTTTACATTCCCTGTCTCTGATTAAAAAAAATTCTCTATAGATTAGAAAATTAAATTAAGTCAAGAGATGAGAATGAACTTTACTAACCCTTATTTTATACGGTATCGTTGTTGTTGTTTTTTTCTTTGTTTTTTTTAAAAAAAATAAAAATATGTTAGTACAGTTATTTATAAATTTAGTTTTTGTAACCAAATATTAATTTTGTGTTGAATAGGAAAGATAAAGAGAAGTAGAAAAAAAAAAATAAACAAACGCAATTATAAAATGTAATTAATCAGTTAGTTAGTAAACAGTATTTTATTTCTTCCCCCCCCTCTCTACCCTTATTCAATTTATATATTTTGACAGGTGTGAACTATTAGGGTTATTTCTTTATTTTTATCATATTGACAAGAACAACAACAACAACAATAACAGAAAAATTTCATTCTGTTGTGTCATGTGATCTATTCTTGTTCTAATCTATACGACATTTTATACTTCTATGTTGAAAAACAAAAAAAAACAGTAAACAAATCTACTTGAAAAGGTATGAAAATAAAACAACAACAAAAAAACAGAACAACCAACCAATGAATCAGATATTATTAAGAACTACGGGATTAAATAAGTATATGAATCAGATAATTAACAATTTTATTTTAATTCTATTGTTTTCCTTTTAGAAGAAAGTCATTTATTGCAAGATGATATATATATTTATTTAACGATTTTGATTATTATCCTGAAGAAGTCCAAATAAGTTAGTTGGACGAAATATTGAAATTATTTTAAATTTTAGTCGCTAAGATTATTTCAAATATAATTTTCACATATAATGACTTCTCTATATTCAGCGTTTAATTTTTGTCAAACTATTCATTTTAATTTTGACAAATATTCGTATAAACATTTATTGTAAGTTATGTATAAATATCAATTATTATACTAAACAATTGTCATAGTATTTCTGTGAGGACTTGACACATATGACATTGATCAATCAATTGTGATTACATCTCAGTTCTACATGAGGTCAGTCGCGGCCCGGATAGCTCAGTGGTAACGTCTCTGACTGTGAAATCGGGTGACACGGGATCGAATCCGCTGGGGTGCACCGGTTCCCTCAAGATTATAGGTACACCTTGCTGATGAGTGCCAAGCAGCACGAAACCCGGGTCCACGGTTTCCACCATCTAATCTCAGAAATTGGTACATATGATAAAAAAATAGATAAAATAAACGTTAATGATAAAAATTAATGAGTATGTATTACATATTCAAATCAGTCACTTATTTAAAAGGTAATTTCATGATAGACTAATATTAACTGAATAGTAATTGAACACTAGATTGTATTGGGTAGCTGTTTTAAACTAGTTAGAAATTCAGTGGTAGTTTAAGTTAATGACGTCTCATGAAGTTATACTCAAAACCATGAAGTTTCTTATAAATCATGATGTATTTAAACAATTATAACGGAATTCATTGGTTCATATTTTCACCTTCAATTACTTTATTGTATATTGGATATAGACTGTGCAATACTGATACTGGTAAGCGTCAAAATATTTAGCTATCGTCAAATTATATGTAGGCTTAGTAAAATATGGATAATGTGAGGTATAGGATTCACAACAGTTTTTTACACATGAAGTTAGCTTACACTTAAGTGTTTACTTTTACTCAATAATAATCAGTGAATTCACTCGTCACTAAAAAAGGTTATGAAGCTCGTTTTGTTAATTTATATTGAATTTCCTTTATCGTTTTATTCGAGCTTTTTGTTGAAATTTGAGTTTGTAAATATTTAGCCACTAGGGCTATTTTAGTGATACCGTATCAGTGACTACACTAACGGTTAACAAGTCTCGATTTACTTGCATCGCTTCTATCCTCCTTATTTCGTCACTTACTATGATGGAACCCTAAAGTCTAGTCCACATAGATCGAATCCTTTAGTCTATTCGATTATTATTTCCTTCTTATCTTTGTTTGTGACAGCTTAAAAATTCATTGAAATGATATGCACATTGGAGTGATATGCTGTTATAATCTGCAGACGCTATAACGCAACATATTCTGGTACCACTAGCGTGAGCCCATAATTGCTGACCGTAGATATTCATTATTCTATCAAATAAATGCGAATTGAAACCCAACACAAAGCTACAATGAATAGCTGAAAATGATCCATTTAACTAGATTAAATGCAGTATGAACTTATCCAGCATTACTGAAATATTTTCTTTATGAGTATTCATAATTAAAAATTTCAATGTAAGAATGATCGATGACTATTGCCAATCATTCAAAATAACGACTAATCAATTCGAGTAAATGACAATGAAAATTACTTCCTGCTAACAACTGCTATAGAGTCTCTTAAACAACTTTAAACAAGTATTCTTGAATGTTTTAAAATCGAAAATGCATATTATTACTTTTTATTCATTTTATTTTGGAAAAAAAATAATAATAATTAATTATGATCTTGTGATGTGAAAAGTAATTATAAGCCTAACGAAATGAAGTATGAATTATAACTGATAGGAAATATTTTTGTAGGCATATAAAGAATAAAGCATTTTATAAACAGAATAATTGAAAAAACACTATAAAGTATATAAATATTGAAAAAGTTAAGGAAGTAGATGAGTAAGCGATATTAACTAAACATACACCAGGTAGAATAGCTTGTTGTATTACAATACCTTTAGTTTTTTTAACATTTTCAACAATATATAATGGATTTTCAACAACAGATTCAGTTTCATTAACAATTAAATGAGAATACTGTATAGTACGTGATTTAGGTATAAACATATTGGTTTCATACAAAAACGAAGATGAACGATCGTTGGAGTAGTTTGATCTGAGATATGTTACATTATTTTGTGAAATGGAATAGATTTTCGGACACTCCGATAACTAAAATATAAATATTTTAAAGAAAAAAATTCAAATACAGTGAGAAAAATTATCTTCACTTTATGATAGAAGAAAATCTCAATATTTAGTACAGTAAGATAGTGAAGGAAATTTTTTTAACTAAAGAGGATTACTTTAGTGATGCTCAGTTGCATAAGCTTGGTCATATTGCGTATCAGTTCTGACACAGAGAATCAATCACATCTAGCATGTCAATTTAAATATTCATTTCACCTTCACGCTTGTAGAGCATGACTTTAAGAAAATTCGGCTACTGGAGTAGAAGCGTAGTAAACAAGGACACAAATGGGAACAATCGAATGTATTTGAATACAAAATTACAGGACATCTTAGTAAAATCTGAGAACCATACAGTAAATACTTCATTTGCAAATCGTCGATCAATTATCTCGAACATGACTGTTCCTTATGCAAAATGTCAATCGATTGTCTCCGACTTCATTGTTTTTTCGTTACCACACCGATCATTCTTTGTTCTCGTTCTCTTCCCTTCAGTCTTCTTAACCTTCTACAGCCAGACATGGCATTTTCGATTGATGATACATCCTACTTGTATATGTCGACATCAGCAGCGAACACACACACACACACTCTCTCTCTCTCTCTCTCTCTCTATATATATATATATATATATATATATATATATATATATATATATATATATATAACGCGATTATTAATAAGCGTATTTCTAAAAACATCTAACAAAATGATAAGATGGAATAAATAAATTTAGAAGACCTTATTCCTTACTTACTGGACATAGTAATCTGCAATCTGGACATACAAGTTTTCCTTTCACAGTAAGACTTTGTTTTGTTAAACAAGCGTTAATTTCACTAATTTCTCCTGGCACTTCACAAGGAATCGACATACCCCCAGCAAGTTCTAAAACCAAACCACCTTCAGTCATTGAACATCGGAACTGAAATTTTTCGAAAAAAAATTATACTTATACCTAATGATAACGTTTGTAAGAAAGATAATAGGAAACTCTAGTTTTAAAAGTGTTTGTGATTCTTCACTTAGAATATGTGTTTAGATATTTAAGAGAAGGCGACAAGTATTCGTAAACTATAAAAATATGTTTTAAAGAATGATTATGGTTATAACTTTTTAAAACTTACTAACAAATTTTAAAAATCTACTAACCAAATACATACAACTTCTCTCCTACATTTATTAACCAGTACGTTTAATTATCTTTGGGCTATCGATAAACTGACTATAATTAACTTCTATGGGATTATTATGGGTGCTTGGCAGTCCTAGAATAAGATGGGAAAGTGTACTGCATCCTTAAGTTTGAAATAAATCTTCAACTGTCATTAGTTTGCACTAAAAGCCAAAAATTGTTTAAAAAATTAAGTAAAAACTAAACAAAAATCAAATATTATAAATCATAAATACGATAAAAAGGTGGTCTTTGCTCATAGAAACAGGAAAATTAATCAAAAACACTGTCTAAAGAATACAACTCAATGTAAAATATAACGGACAAAGAGTAAGCTAAATAAGAATTATGAAAGTTTATAAATAAGATCGAAGCGATTAAACAAGAACGAATTAATATGGAATGATATCAGAAGAATTTTAGTGTTCCATTTTCATACTAATTTTGTGAACGGTTTAAATGAATTATGTTTACGATAGATTTTGAAGAAGGTAAAGATACGTATATTTATGATACATTCCTAATGGCAACCAATAATTTTGGTACAGAAATAATTAGTAGGCTTCACATGAATACTTTTATAGAATATGAAAATCCTATCATTTTAAATAGCTAGAAAACCCATAGATTACAAAGGAAGTATGAAATTTCTCAGTATTTTAGACATGCTCTTCACCAGTGTGATGCATTAGATAAAATAAGAAAGTGACTATCATAATATTGCAGTAATATATATGAAACAAATGAATGTGCACAAATGCATTGCGCTTCAATAAAAGATAGTTAAAAAGTGATTTAATATACTGAATGAATGAAGGTAAAACTGAAAACGAGGTCTTCTGATGTTCTACAGTATTAAGAAGATTAAGCGCGCTAGACATAATCATGGGAAAAGCTTTTCAAATCATACTGTATAACATCCAGCTCCTTCCACTGGCGGAACAAATAATGAGTCTCCATTTATTAAATGCCAATTAGGACTATGCTCTACACAAACAGAATCCATACCAAATCGTTCAAGTTTAAAGTTGTTATGTGGATCTGTAAAATAAAAAAAACGAATGAAAAGTGAATTGCTCATAACAGTTTGTGAGGTAATCTAGGTCTGTGAGAGAAATGAAAAGCCGAAATCGTTATAAACTACAATACACGACTTTGAATGAATTCATAGTGACAAAGAAGCTTAGTTAGATAATCAACATCAAATATTTAGCAATTATTTGAAGGCGAATATTATGGTTATATATTTTTAAGTACCCTATAAATATGGGAAAAAAGCTCATGAATTGTATTGAGCTACTTATAAATAACACAGTATAAAGTTGACTTCAGCTTTAAATCCAGTTGGGACGAACAATGTGATTGAAGTTTACTTCCTTCTCAATAATAACTATATCCAGTACCCCAATCTATCTCTGATATATACTACAATTCTTTCTGAATGGTTTCACTTGCTGCCATTTTGTTTTCGTTCATTCAATTACAAAAACCATCACCAATAGTTCCAAACAAGTCAAATCACTTGATGAGAAGCAAGTGAAATTAATTATCATTAAAAGTAGTTTATTTCGAAAAATTCAATGAAATAAAACTTCTTTGAAAAGAAGTATCAAGAAGAACTTTATTTACTAAATAATTGATTATTTTGAAAGGGTCACTAACATTAAAACATTCTAGAAAAAATCATAAATGAATTTATAAAAAACTACATTCATAGAAACAAAATTACTTGACAATTTGAAAAGGGGTTTTGTGGATATTATAGTGATAATAATAGTTGAGGCCGTGAGCCAATTAAAGCTCGACCACTATGGAAAACCTGGAAAGACTGGACGGCCGGGTTCGAATCTCGCGAGGCGGAATCGTGGATGAGCACTCCTGGGGAGTCCCATAATAGGACGAAACGGCCTTCCACTGCTTCCAGGTTTTTTTTTAGCTTCAATTGATTAATGATCTCAATTATTGAAATTACTTGGCAATTGTTCAATAGAAAATAATTTGGTTGTCATATGATTTATTAATTTAACATTATATAAATTTTACTACAAGTTAAAATGAAGTGTAAATGTAAAGAAGATTTAATTTAAGTTACCTTTCAAATTAGTTGATGCATGACAATGAGTATTAGCAATTGATTTTCCTACATCATCTTCCCATTCAATTTCCTACAAAGAAAAGTTTACATAAGAGTGAATAGAAATTGACTCATGACCTCAACTATTGAAATTACTAAAATCTCTACAAAACCCTTTCTGATGCTATTAAATGTATTGAGGAAAAACATTTCAATGAGGATAAAAAAACCATGATATATTTGTGATATCCCAATGAGTAGGAATTCGAATTTCTGATGTTTCGTGACGCAATGTAAGTCAATATTTCAAATTAAACAAATGGATAACCGAATTAAATAGTATAAAGGAATAAGCCAGAATATTTAGTCTAGTCGAAATCAAAATCAGAATAAGTCTGATTATGTCTATGTCATGTGAACATTTTGATCATGATTCTGTGTTTAAATATCACATTAAGTAAATTTTTGGTCTTTATATTTAGACCATGTTTTACTATAGTTAAAAAAATCTTAAGTAGCCACCGAATGTATGTTTTTGAAAACTCTCAAACAGAATCATATAAACAGAGATGAACTTAAGGCAATATCTAGGAAATTCGTACATGATTTACATATGCCAGTAAGTGACTGATTAATTACAGTTCTAAACATCAATGGAAGGATTCAAACAACCAATACAAAAAATTAATTAGAATCAGCTATATTTTATACGAATATTTGTCAATATTTAAATGAACAGTTTGATAGAAACTCAAATATAATTTTCTCAATTAAGGATCAAATTTAGTTTATACAATTGGATTTTATTTACATGTACACTAAAGTTCAAACCCTCCACACTTTTTTTTTTAACTGCGTTTATATCATGAGTCTAAATACCCAAAATAATGATGCTAAATCAACAGACAACAAGATACTAGTGTGATCAGTACAAGAAGTGAGAGTTTTCTTTCTATAGTTTTGTCCATTTGATTATTATACCGTTAAAAATCCCAACAACAAAAATGTTTAACTCTCACACATTGACAGTTATATAACACTCTTTGAGTGAATGATTTTATTAACAGTATAATTAAATAAAATAATTTAATTAACAAACCTGATGATATGGACAGTAATTAGCCAAAGCTATTTTTCCTCCTAATTTAACCAAAGGATACTGATTAGTTAAGGTTCCAGTACCTAGATTGATTTCAGAATTCAGTGTAACAGTCGAGAAATTTGTATTAACGAAATATACATATTCATCAGGCAATGGTTTGGAATATTCAATTAGGTTACAAAATCCATAACTTTCTTCACCAGGTGTACAGCTAACCTGTAATCCATTATTTTTGTTGTGAAAGCTTGAAGTTAACTGTTGACAAAACGGTGCAATTGGATGACCACTATATAAAGGAAAAGAAAACAAATTACGTTAATTAATACTCAAAGGATATTTGTTTGTGAACGAAGATAGTTTACCTTCTGTTTAATCCACTTATTAAAGTATTATGTAATTTACGAAATATAAGAGCAAAAAATTACATAATTAGCAGCGATTGTGAGATATTCATATTCTAATATAATAACTCGTGAAAGTCAACTTCCTGAATTCACATACTCAAAAATAAATGAAAACACTTCTTCTCAGACCAAATCTCAGAAGCTGCCAGAGTACGAGGTTGGATGACCGGTGTTCGCTCGAGACTATAGAGCAAATCGTTGTCCTTAGACCGAATCACGTGCGGTTAGAAAACTAGGCCAAGTTATGTACGAGGAAAAGGTGGGAAGAGACACGTGAACTAGACACCGAAACCAACTACGAAAGTGGATAGCCCCATACAGCCCATCAACAGAAGTAAATCTTCCCCTTGACATCCTGCTTGACACCTTCAACTTACCAGAAGCCCTACCACGAGAAGAAGCTCAACAACAAGCTGATCTCCGTACCAGAAGGTGGCCTCTCCAACAGCGGCGAGCAGCAGTCAAGATGCAAGTCAACCCCAGGAAAGTACGCTATTAAAACGAGGAAGTGTGTTTTATTTATCATTATTTGAACACATAAATGTTGGTACAAGAGGTCACCAAATATATATGCACCACACATAGCAATGAGAATTCGAAGAGAAAAAAAGAACAATAACGAGCAAATTAGTGTGAGGTAGTGCAATAATAATAATAGTAATAATGGGGGAACGGAAAGGTACAATGAGAAGAAATCTTTCAGTTAAGGAAGAAACAACCACTTTCTATGAAGAAAGTAAAAGAAGGTTACAGCAGGATCACCACTGGCTTCTATTCTGAGCGATATCTGATAACGTCTCTAGCCACTGTGTTGCACCATCTCTCGGACCCCAGCCAGGGAGTCTGAATGACCAACAGAGGCCAGTCCTTTGCAGCTCACTTTCATGCCACGACATCATGTCATACACTGACCACCTCTCCGCATTCTCCAATCAGTCCCAGCGTCGGCAAATAATGCACGATGTGGAATGACATTCGTAGTACATGTTCAAGCCACCGAAGTCGGTGTTTCAAGATGGTGACACCAATTGCATTGTCGTCTCTGGGCCCGAACACACGATGCTGAACCTCTGCATTGTTAACATGGTGTTGCCACTGGATGTCAGCAATCCTTCGGAGACAACGGTGATCAAACACAGAGAGTCGTCTAACATCCTCAACTCGGAGAGGCCAGGTTTGCAAGCATAGAACAGAACTGCTCTCACCGATGCATTGTAGATTCGACCTTTTACAGCCAGACTAGCATCACGAAGGCGCCAAAGATGGCGCAGATTGACATGAGCCGCTCTGGCTTTCACTATACGTGCACTAATCTTATCACTCAGGCTACCACCAGCACTTATGCAGCTACCCAGATACACGAACTTCTCGACTACTTCTATCTGCTCACCATCCAGGGTGAGTACAGGATTAGAATCCTGCCAGTCTTGTAGAAGTACTTTGCAATTCGAAGGTGAAAAGCACATACCGTACCTACAGACATTGATTGCCAACTGATTAAGTTCGAATTGCATGGCTTGGGCATTATCGCACAGTAAGACAATATCGTCCGCATACTCAAGGTCGAGAAGTCTTTCTCCAGGCAACAGATCCACACCACCATTACTTACATTCATCAGAGCTGTTTCCAGAATGTCATCGATGGCAAAGTTGAAGAGGAATGGTGAGATCGGGCAACCCTGCCTAACCCCACTACTCGAATGGAACAATGGAGAGAGGTGGTTGTATGACCTCACTCTGCCTGAGGTGTTTGTATATAGGGTTTTTAGGATGTTAACACACTTCTCAGGCACACTCTTTTTCAATAGACAATCCCAAAGATCAGTTCTGCCCAACGAATCGAAGGCAGCCCTCAAGTCAAGAAACACTACGATTGTTGGCCTTTGATAAGTATGGCGGTGCTCTAACATTTGGCGGAGGCTGAAGGTATGATCAATACATCCTCGACCAGAACGAAACCCAGCCTTCTCCACGTGAGTCGATCTTGGGTTTTGAACAACCTACGAAGTATGACGGAAGCCAATAGCTTGGACGCAATCAGAAGTAGACTTATCCCCTAATAGTTGTTACAAGAACGACGTGAACCCTTTTTAAAGATAGGGACAACTATCGACTCATTCCATGACGTTGATACACTCTCTGGCTCCCAGACCTTTGAAAACAACGTCGTCAGTACCTTAGTCAGAAAGTCACCATCACCTTTAAAAAGAGCCGAAAGTAAGTCATCTGGGCCAGGTGATTTGTAGCGCTTCAAGAGTTGGAGTTCCTTGCGAACTTCCGCCTCATTCGATGGACCAGTCGTCACCGGCCGTGTAGGGCAGCACAGTCCGGAGCAACAGGCCAGTTGAACTGTCCTCCGAAGAATTCTGTCCATCGTCCAAGACACCGGTAGATGTTAGTGATCGGCATCCCGTCATCCTCAAAAATTGTTTCGCTCACACCAGACTTCTTGCTGCCAGTGGCTCGGATGAGTTGAAAGAGTTTCCGGCAGTTACCAGGTGCATCTGCCGCTTCCAGCTCATTAGCACGCTCCGACCACCAGGTTTCTCGGTCCTTACGCAAGCTTTGCCCAATTTCATTACGTAACATCCTTTGTTTGTGGTCAAACTCACGGTCACCTGGAGTAGATCGACGGGCTTCAATGAGTTGTAAGGAACCTGAAGAAACCCAGTGCTTATAAGCGGGACGTTTCGCAAACCCACAACTGACTGTTCCCGCCATTTTCATGGCGTCATACAATTGCAACCAATCCTCATCTATACTTTTCAGTGGAATGGTAGCTAGTCTAGAGGCTAGCTCAGTTCGATACTTACTAGCAACAGGAGTTGCAACCAGCTTGCTAATATCAATCCGTTGGTGGCGGTCACTTCGTTGGCCACTGAAAAGTAAGATAAGATTGGCACAGACCAGGGCATGATCAGAGTCCACATAGGTACTCCGAAAAGAGCGGAAGTCTTGTACACAACCACGCCAGCAGTAGCTGATCGCGATGTGATCAATCTGAGTCCAGGCTTGAGATGCAGAGGGAGGACGCCAGGTGGCATATCGGTGATGACTGTGCCGAAGTCTGTGCAAAGTTGCAGTAGACGGTCCTCGTTATCTGTCCTGCGACCAACAAGTCCCCATCGGCCACCTAAACGACTCTCTTCTGTGCCTAGACGCCCGACCTGCGCATTCAAGTCTCCGGCTAGTACTACAATATCTGTCGAACGCACTTTCTGGAGAAGAACAGATAACTGGTGGTAAAACTCACCCTTGATTGCATCCGGGCTGCAATCTGTCGGGGCATTGACGGGGATGACGAAAACACATCGTTTCTCACGCCGATTTCTTCTCACTTTAATGGAACTCTGTAATCTAACAGCACATAACCGACTGTTAATGGGGATCCAATCGATTAGTGCTGCCTCAGTTCTAGCGCTTAGTGCGACACCAACGCCAGCAAAACCAGACGGAGATGCCACAGGCACGTAAAACAAGGTTTTTGAAGCGACAGATGGAAAGAAAATTCGAATTTCTTTATTTTCGCGCAAAAGGTGCTCTTGTCACCTTCATGTCGTATTTCCCACTGAGAATTATCTTAAATGCTATTGATCCGTTGGGTCTTGTAGTATGCTATTTGGTAACTCTCCCCAAGGACAGTTTTGTACTGTATATATACGTTTTGGATTGTTGTTATCGCTCATTTCTGGCTGTTTGCAGAGTATACTTCCCTCTTCCAAGCTTGGACTTCTCCCTCTGTTTAGAGGGGCTGGGACGCATCAATAGCTAGCTTACTGGTCTTTGGTCACCGAGTCTTGTTTCTCGTTCGCAGATTAAGTGAACTCGTGATAGCTTCAACCCTAGCATAATCTCAACTAATAATATTGCTATAATATCCACAAAACCCTTTCTGAAAACACAATACGCTACATAATGTAGTAATGAAAACTAAAAATTTACGGTGTCATGCAAACTATTCGCTTCAAAATACATTTAGGTAAAAGTTGTTTAGAAGTGTAAATTTGTTTTATAAGGAAATTTCTGTTCAATATCTTATTCCAAAATTTTGGGACAAGTTCGTATAAAAAGTGATTTGGTTATAGAAGCTCCAAATATTTTTTATAGTTCACTAACAGTGAACCGTTTGAAAATATGCCGCCAAATTATCGTTACAACTCAAATGTAAAAGTCTATCATTCTCTGTTTGCCTTGTCAATAAATACAGTAGAAAATACTCTGCTTATTAGATCCATTAAACATATGTACAACATAAAACAAACTATTCAGAAAAGCTTATTTTGCTACTGAAGACGTCTATATGCTATAGTAATTTCACTGAGTCCACCCAATGAATATGTTAAATTCTATATGGAGCACTAAAGTGCTTCCTCAAAGCTTTCTGCAACTGATAATTGTTCAGGGGATTTATGAAGCCGAAGTACGTAATCAAAACATGCATGAAGATCTATGTTACAGTTTATTATCAGATTGATATTCACTGAACTTTCTTCCATTATACAAATCAGTCCTTAGATGGGAGCTTTAATTTTGAAATTCTTAGTTCTAAGTCAAAATATAAAGTGGCCTGACTTCAGTAATAACTAATAATTAATTTATTCGTGATTTCTAATCACTGAAGAATGACTTAAAAAAGTCACATTGTCCGAATGTCATGACTTAACTTGATGCTTCTCCTGTAATGCACAACCGAGACCTCAACAAGAATGGAAATTGGTATCTTTTGATGGGATTCTCAACTAAATCAAAGAGGTCACGATTCGATAATGGACTATTGTGTTGTCAGCAGGCATTTTCATACCATCCTCTAGTCCAATGATTCAAACTGATCTGTACAGATCTCCAAAGTCGTCAATAAAGATTGGGTTATTTCGAACGTTTATGTTGACTATTCTCAAGTTAATCAAATGCATAATCCACTAACCTGTAAACATTCAACATTAGTGTAAATATTGAATAGCGAAAGTTTTACATCAAATTACTTACCCACGACTTTGTTCTAGCATGTATTCTAAACAACTGCCAGTAGCAAAGGTACATCCTCGACCTCTACCCCAACTGAAAGACTGAGATAATGCATAGTTTGGGATGTACCAGCTTAAATGAAGAAAAAAATCAAAATTGTAAACCGATTGTAAATTGCTTCTACTAGAAAATTAAATATGAATGTACAAAATAAAGGTTTCTTAAGCTTCTACTTCAGAAGATCTAGGGGTGACGAGAATGTTAATTATTTATTACTAGTATAGGAGTTGTGGAGATTATTAAGTTTTTGATTGAGATCCTGAACCAATTGATGTTAGACCATCACAATTGAAAACCTGGAAGCACTGGACGGCCGTTTCGTCCTATTGTGCGCATACACGATCCCGCGAGCGGGATTCGAACCTAGGGCCTTCGGTCTCGCGCGCGAACGCTTAACCAACTGGACCACTGAGCCGGCATCCAATGGTGATAGTTTCTAACATCAACCAATCCACGAAACGGCCGTTCAGTGCTTCCAGGTTTTCAATTGTGATGGTCTAACATCAATTGGTTCAGGATCTCAATTAAAAAAAAATTATTTATTACACAATTTTAAGGATTCAGGTGAAAAGTTCCACTAACAGTTATACGAAAGCCAATCAACCCACAGTTAAAGAGATCGAAAACAGCATGACTAATGGTAAATTATAACAATTAAACCCGGTCATTTGTTGATTAGATGTTTAGCTCAGCAATCAGTCTGATGAAAACCAAACAAATACTTTGAAAATGTAGTGTCTGAAAACATTAAGAAACTACATAAAACTGCGAACGAATTTGTTAGTATATTAAGAACGCGCACAAAATTCTGTTTCCTTCATCAATCATTGGAATTCATTTGGAAAGTATGATCCATTGTCATAATTGAGGAACTTTGAAAAGCTATTGGCAAACAAACTGTTGATATTCAATCTTAGTTTTAACTATTTAATTGTACTATACTGTTGAAAGTTTGTTTACAGTCACCAGGTGAAATCATGCTAAAGTATATATGTGCAACTAAATTCATCGATGATTTACGATATTAGTTAAACAAATCTATTATTTGCAATGAATTTGTAGGTAAACAGAAACTTTTATTAACCTTCAACTGATCAGAAAATATTTTCTCAATAACGTGAAAGCCAGATTTTGATGAGTGAAGTTTGAGATTTTGAGTTTAAGATTCTGAAACTCAATACAAAAAAGTTCTTTTGAATAGAATCAGTCCGATAATCTATCTCCACAACCAAGAACGTAGTTAGAAAGTAATTTTTTTCTCTTTTTTTGAAAATTTCTTTGCTGATGATGTTAACAGACAAACAAAATTATCCCGTTAATCACATCACACCTTTACAACTGACTATTAAGTGTCGGACTTTCATACAGTACATTTCAAATGAACTGTTGTAATGTTGAGTATTCATATATAATACAATGAGCATTGAAAAAATTGAATAGGATCTAGGAATTATAGGCTAATTTTAAGTGATCATCACATAATTATCTTAAAGCACTGAGATTTAAACGTTTTATTAAGGGGAGAAAAAGTAATCAACTCTTGGGGATATAAATTTAGAATACAAAGGGTTTAGAGCCACTTGAACTTCATGAGCTTACCCGGTATCCTCCATCATTGCCAGAGTAATCGGTGAAATTCGAAAAGAATTTGTGTATGTCGCCGTCATTAAATCATTCTTTTAAAAAATGTTTGAAAATTTATAAATTAAAATGTAACTACTCATAAGTAACTTAGTTTCTATGACATAAACCATAAACAACAAGCTACGGAAATACGAACAAAACAAGTACTATTGTGATTTTCGAGTTGATGGATTTTAAAATATTCACGGAGATTTAACAATTGATCTCGAGAGAAATAGTTGATCACTAATACTTGATGGTTATTTGTTGAAGAATGACGAAATAGTTCAATTTCACAGGAAGAATAAATCTCCACTTAAGGATACTGAAACAACAATTTAATCGTTTGGAATACGACTATCGTGAAATTTATCGTCTGTGACATGTGATTACGTTTCGAGAAGGTGTAATCACAGGACTTAGTCAATTAGCTATGTGCATTGGTTATAGATGTCTAATTGTATGATATTCTAAACATCACCAAACAATAAAATAGTATTCAGGCTTAATTTTCATGCATAATTGCATTTACTATAAAATCCTTAAGTGCTCTACAGCATTTTAACCATTCATTTTTAAATTTGGATACTACATAAGTTATAAGTACTACAACTTCATGTTGTCCTAAATATTATGAGCTTATTGATTATCATTTTTCTAATAGATGCATTTATTAGTAAAACATACCTCTAAAAGGCGTTTCTCCCAGTGTGTTAGATACACTCCTGCATCATCCTCATCTTCTAACTCGACACCATCAAGATTCGGACAGTTGTAGAATGATCTGGCGATACGCTATAAGACAAAATTTTTTAAAAGATTTATTTTATCAACTTATATATTTATATATGTACTAGAGGTATTTGTGTGGTGTAAGCTACTTATGTCGACAGACATAAGTGGTATGCAACACCAATCAGAAGTGGAATGCCTAACAGCAGAAGGCTAAAAAGATCGAGTTGAGGAACACAAAAACAAAGATAGAAAGGAATTGAGAACTGGAAGAATTACATGGAATGTCAAGGACAATTGATGGGAGATTTGCAAATGAAGTATTTAATATGTGGTCTTCACACTCTAGTAAAGAACTGTAATTTTGCGTTAAATAATAAATTAGCTATCACCATCTGTGTTTTAGTTCACTACATTCATATCAATTATTTATTTTGCGTTTCGAAGGTCACATATCTTGAAGAGTAAAGATTATCTTTATTTATGCGGAAAGAGTCGTGACCGGATTTTTGCATAGCAATTAATTAACGAAATCATATTTCACCTCAATCAATTTATATATATTCATACCACAATCCTTTCATTTACCTCCCACTAAAGACATACATGTCACAAGTTTTTTAAAGTGAACGGATTGTAGTTAGCAGTAGGAACCATTGGGTACGTTTATTTAAGCTGTGTCGGTAGGATATATCTACATCTCAGTGTTGGCATTTACATTTAGATCAGAACACAGTAACGTTTGATTAAAATTCCAAAACCTATCCAGTTCAAGTGGCCACTAACTTCTTTAACAGATAAGATATTAATGTTATCATTAGCAAGAGTTTGAAACATCCCATCGCTGATATTTAGGACTGAATTTTGATCAATATATATATATATATATATATATATATATATATCGCAGTTTGATTGAAGCATTCTTTAAACCATGAACTACTATCTTAAATTTACTGATAAATAAGGTGTAATATAAATTTCATTGTTGATTGATTGATTGATTGATGTATAGCTTTAGTTTATGTAATAAATACTAAAGGTCCAATTTATTACTTATCTCAAAAAAGTGTAATCTGTTTTAAAATGGATTTCTTATTGATATCAATTTTGTTTGTTGGTAAAATGAATGAATATATAGAGATAATAAGTTTTATTTTTATTCACTCACTTATTTAAAACATTAATTAGTTATATTAGTAAACCACAATTCACTTTAAATGACAATATAGAAAGTAAATGAAACAGTAAATAAAAGGTAATAATTATATATTTAGATACATTGAGTCTATTTCCTTACAAGTAAAGATGGTTTAATAAAATAAATCACTGGTTTATTTATTATTTTAACCATATATAGACAACTATTTTAATAAAGTGATTTATTTGTAAAAAACAATCATGCTAACATAATGAGAAACATTCTAAAAGTGTTTCGTCTATTTCTGATGAATGGATGATCAAGTTACTTGAATTGACTATCAGTCAGTAAATATACATTACAGTCTGTCTTGTATGTAAATGAATGTATAATAATTAATCTAAATTCGTTTTAAAAAAAATCATTTTAAGGTTTTTTTTCCCCACAGAAACAAGTATTTGATTACCCCGCAAAAAAATGGTTCATACACTTAATACTTTACAGATAAATAGTCCACCACAATTAGAAAAAAATATCTTAAAAGGAATTTCTTTTCTTTAGGTACAAAATTTACAAATTCGTGTCTGTATGTAAACAACATTAATAATTTGAAAATGGTTACTGATATTTCGTAAGTCAGACATTATATCTGGAAGCTATTTAATAATAATAATAATAATAATAATAATAATAATAATAATAATAATAGTATTAATAATAATATTAATAATATAACACTGGTATATCAATTTTTGTTGAACTTATGACAATTTCCACATTTGTCATCCCATTAAATAATTAAAGTTGAGTCCAATCATACTGGCCTAATAAGAAATCATTTATTACATTAAATTATGTAAACATAAAATCAGATTTATCAGTATGTATTTAACAAATGACTACAATATTTTATGTATAAATAAAACAGGAAAAGGAATAGTTTTCTATCAGTTAATCTATGAAAATTGTTATATCTGGAATTGTCGTCGATGTTCTGTACGTATTATTTCTGTTATTTCCTTATTACTTGTACTTGACAATCAGGAACCATTGAGATTTTCACGACGCAAAGTAAGAACATGAAAGACTAGTGCAATAAAGATTTATTGACTCCGCAGAAATACATTTACAAATAAGTTTCGAAATCACATTGTTATTAGATTGAAATAAAATCATTTATATACTGATTTTTACACACGATAATATAATATATAGGGGAAAATATACTGGAAACATACGCTGAATATAATTAACTTGAATTGATATAGGAAATATAAGTATCAAGCTGAAGGAAGCACGGAATACAATGGACAGCTTGCATGAAACTAGACGATTCGGATGACTTGGCCCTTCTAACCCATACACACGAGCAAATGAAGGTCAAGACATCCATTATAACAGACGCCTCTGCATCAGTAGGCCTTAACATACACAAGGAAAAAACAAAGATCCTCAAATAAGACACGAAGAATACCAACCCAATCTCATTTGATAGAGAAGCTCCGGAAGAGGTGGAAACTTTCATGTACCTGGGCAGCACTATCAACGAACATGAACAATCTGATCCAGGTATGAGGGCAAGGTTTGGCAAATCAAGGGCCGCATCCCTACAGTTAAACAGCATATGGAACTCATAACAACTGTCTGTCAACCAACATCAAAGTCTGAATTTTCAATATGAACGTCAAGATAGTTCTACTGTACGGAGCTGAAACTTGGAGTACTACCACAACTATCATCAAAAAGGTACAATTATTTATAAACAGTTGTATACGAAAAAATACTCAACGTCACTTGACCAGATACCATTAGCAACAACCTACTGTAGAAGAGAAAAAACTATCTTTCGGCTAAAGAGAAAATTAGGAAAAAGCAACGGAATTGGATAGGACGTACAATACTGAAATCACCAAACTGCATCACGAGGCCAGCCCTAACGTGAAATCCTGAAGGGAAACGGAAAAGAGGAAGGCCGAAGATTACACTACACCAAGAATCGGAAGCAGACATCAAAAGGATGAATAGCAACTGGAAAGGATTGCCCAGGACGGGGTTGGATTTAAGATGCTGGTGGTTGGACTATGCTCCTCTATGAATGGTAACAGGGGTAAGTAAATATACTAAACCAAGTTTATACTGATCTGACACAAAAGATACTGACCTAAATAATGTTATCTTTTTATCTCGTTATATCAAAAACAACGTCCTGAAATCAAAGCATTTAATCACGTTATGATACATTTATTAGGAATAGAAACTTTCAACAGTGCAGTAATTACCACAATTATTAAGTTAATTAAAATAGAATTTTAACATTTAATTCATTAAACAATTTTAAAAAGCAGTGACATTCATTTTATTGAATATTTTTAATTTCCAGCAAATTAATTTTGTGCAAGCATGAATTGAGTGATGTATACTTTTAGCAATAATTTGGGTAGATTACACTATTACACTTAATTTAGACGTTTTAGTCTATCCAAGAAAATTACCTTAAAACACTTTATTTTGATATAATAGGTACTATAGTTTGATTTACTTTCATATTTAGAATTAATCGGTCAGAATCAATCGAAGTACTTGTTAACAACTCAACAGTAAGGGATATTTGTGACCATTGGGAAATCCAAATTTCTTTAGTTATTTAGGCTTACATTAGTCAGTGATATAGTTCAAGATTGAATTAATTATGGACAAAATATCTATCCGACTTAACAGAAATAGTTTTCAGTAAGAAAGAAACAAGTAAAAATTGTGAAATTCAATTCGGATGGGAAGTAAATAATTGGAAAAGGTTAATTGACTGACAGCTTAATTAATTCAGCAATACGCTCAAAGAGAATAATAGCAAATACAAATATCATGCAAGGATGATGAATGTCAGAAAAATGACAACTGTTACTACAGCTTTTCATAAAATACGTGGATAGATAACGTGGAGATAATTTAGAGATTTAAGGAAACACAAGCTAAAAGTAATACAGTGTCCAGAAATGAGAATAACACATGGAATATAGCACAATGATTATTGATAAAGTGATATCGACATTCTAGAAGGGACATAAAACAAAAACTTGTACGTTATTGGAGTCTTAACTATTTTACATAAATTTTTGAAAACATAAAGTGACTACCCCACTCTCATAAAAGACTGGTTGTTACTTTAATTAGCTAAACAGTTTTTAGTTGAATAAACAATGATGAATGTCATGAAATGAGGTATTATGAAAATATTTATCTGCATAGACAAACATGATGTTGCATTTGTTCCACTGATACAACATATTTCATTTGTATGTATTAATTACAATTAAAAAACATCACAAGAATACTGATCTAGAGATAGAAAACTTTCTAACTCAGTAGATTATTTACATTATGAAAGCTAGATACAGAAGTTATTTTTGTCAAATCTAAAATCTCAGCGTGCAATTCTAAATTGTTATATATATATAGGCTAGCATTGAAGACCTGGAAGCAGTGGGTTGCCATTCCGTTCTAGTATGGGACTCCTCGGCAGTGCGCACACACGGTCCTGTACGTGAGACTCGAATTCAGGGCCTTCGGTCTCGACTCATGAATCAAATGATTAAAATTACTAGTCTGCACAAAACCCCCATTCTGATAATAATCATCCTGTGCTCACTAGTGACTGGCTTCAAGGAGTATTTCCTGGAGTTCTAGTGAGAAACCGTGAACAGCGGAGTTCAACCGTACCTGTTGTGAAGCAGTTACTCACTAAAGATAATGTTGAACGGTGGTGCAATATCGTAGATTGGTTGAATTTAGACATTAACAATGTTGGATGCTTGCTCAGTCGTATAGAGGTTAAGCGTTTGCCCGCGAGACCGAGGATCCCATACTAAATCGAAATAGCCGTCCAGTGCTTCCAAGCTCCCAATGGTGGTCTAGCTAAGATCGACTCATTAATTCAACTATTGATATTTAGTTTTTGGGCTGCATATTATTAATGATAGATATATAGCAGTATATTATGTTTAAACTAATGAGACAATATGGCTGAATCCATCGAATAATTTTAAAACGAAAACACTGATTTGAGATAAACCATTTCAAACGTCAGAAAGCTATTTTATATGCATTTTGATATTGAACAGTACACTGAAATAGTAGGCAAGAACTAAATGTCGTTGTGATTGACATCTAGAAGAGACAAAAAATAACTAGAATTTATCTCAGGAAGCCTCGACACCCGCATTCCAAATACTATTTCTGTCACAGTTTCAACTTTGAATATTTATTATATACACATGAAAAATGAGATACATTGGATTTTCCAAAAAAATAGTTTAAATAAATAACCTCCATAAGTAAAAGAAATCTTAGAAAGTTATACAAGTTACAGATGATATTTATCGACTATTTTTAAAATAAAGACACGTAATTTCTATTCTGCCTTGACTCCTTATTAAAAATAATGGACCTCAAAATATCTACAAAAATAGTAAACATATTCATGTTAAAAATAAATCTAAAATTTACTTGTCTTTAACAGATTCTTAAATGTACATGTGAGAGTCACCATTAAAAAGTATGATAACATGATTTTAATGTAATACATACACAAGTTTATTTTTAAAATGTAATATGGTAAAACTGAGTTGAAACTAGATTATGAAAACTCAGACTCAGCAAATTTTCAGAACACTTTTTTAATCACAATTACTTATCATCAAATGAAAACCATTTCAAAATTATTATCAGTACACTAACTATCAATGTAGTCTTAAGAGAAGAATATGAATCGTTGCTTTTTTCTAAATAACAGGTAAATCTATCGATAGATAAATTGTTTTGTTTAGTGAGCTTAATTTATTTAGCAACGTACTGATACGGAATTCATTTGTAGATAGACGGAGATACATGACGTGACTGATTATGATATTGATTAGGTTGACTTTCTAATAGTAATCAGATTGAGAAAGCAATACTAAATCTGATTGGTTAATTGTACATGTTACGTAGTAAAGTCAGACCAATAGTGAGTCGGTTAATTATAAATGACATTTAAAAAGAACGCATGTCAACAGTATTGATCAAATACTAACTGGAACTGTGATATACTAACTCGTGTCTATTTTGATTTTTGGTCTGCTATCAGAAACATCATATAGATTTTAACAACGATAAGTTTCGAAGATGAAGTCCCTTTAATTAATTTGTACAATACAATGGGCAAAGGTTTGATAATTGACTAACATTCACACATGGGAGTGAAGTTTGATTGTCAAACCTGTTTAATTGATGATGTACAATTTTTATGAAATAATATGCATAACTGAGAAATAATTTTACTAACATCAAAATTTGGTAATACAATGGTTGGAAGGAAAATATGAGCTGTACTTTAACAGGGAAATAAAAGATTCATACGACTAATAATATTTCTGGAAAAAATTCTAACAGTTAATGGAAAGGAAATCGTTTACAAAAGTGAATCTTTAAAAGTGAGAAATGATCTACTATAAAATTATTGTGATAAAATATGGAACTCTTCAGTCGTTTGGTTGGGATGGTATATACAATAATGTTACAAAGGTTAATATTAGTAAGTTTTCGAGAAAGAAGTGGGTACAGAAAAGAAGTAGGTAATTTGTTTTCACATCTACTCAGTATATAAAATGACTGGTTACTAAATCACTCCAAATAAGGTTTACTTTTATCTGAGCCGGCTGATGAATTTTGTATGATCGTGGAGAGAATTTAAGACCATGTTCGCATATAATGTGACAAAAAGTATAATCTATAAATAAGAACGCTACCACAACCTTTTTATAGTAGCATAAAACACAATTAGGTGTTTAAGGTCATAGTGATTATTTTGTTGTAATATCGGAGTAAATTATCATACATGTGTAACAAAATAGATTGCAGAACATTTTACACCAAAAATCCTCAAAAGACTCAATCTAAAATCTTACTCATCTTTCCAGTGAAGTGGACATCAGCATTCAAAACGTAAAAAAATGTTCCATAAGAATTATACTTTTATGTACTGGGAGAACTACTCTTTGTATATACATAGTTTTCATGTGTAAATTCAGCGCATAATGGTAATCCAATTTGTAAAATTAAGTTGTATAGAAGGACGGTGGTTAACTTTTAAAAATGGTCAGGTATACTTTTTCAATCACAACTCTTGGTAAAATTAAGGTTTAACGATTGAGTCTCAAAGAACAATTGGTAGAAAAGCAGACAGATAAATAACAAGACTCCAGTTCAAATCTGAAGGTTGCCTGATAATTCAACTTCAGCTGTTATCCATGTAGATATCAGTCAGCATTAAATGTAAAATGTTTATTTAATTATAATAGGGAATGTGCATTTCGCTAATTAGATCACACTAAATCAGAAGAGTTTATTAATTTGTCAAGCTATTTCATTTTTGTGATATCAAGCACATACTAGTTCACTGACCAATTTTATTTCTGGTGATTACATGAAGAATTATTTATGGCTTTAGTAATGCCCATTATAAGTAAACGATTAGTAAATGTATTAGTGAATTATAGACATTACACAATGATATAATTAGTTATGAATGCAAGACTCAAATGAATAGTATTTTTCACTTAGATTACTATTACATTCTGTTCATGTAAACAATAATATTTATATGAATATATGAGAAAATAAAATTAACTCAGTTTATGAATTACTAATCAAACATAGAGTAGATTGAGTAACTAATTGTAATAAATAGGTAGTGGTTGTGATAAATAAAACGTTGCAAATACAATTTGATGACAAAATGATTGGTATTAAAATTCAGCCATGTAGAAAATGCAAAAAAAGTAGCGCCACAGTGCATAGGTTTGAGTTCTCACATTTTTCAGAATCATTAAGATAGAAAATCAGTAAAAACTAAAACTCACCAAAGAGAAGAGATCGAATAAAGTCTTCTCGACTAAAAGAAAATAGAATATATTTTCTAATCTTTGACAAACCTAAGGTTGTTAAGGTAACGTCTCTAACCACTATATTCCAGTATTCAAGTTAATGTAGTCAGAGAAAACAACTGTTTCTCAGACAACTCTTACTAAAAGCTGATGCCTACATGAGTTATTATAAACTTCTAGGTTTTATTTTATATTGAATCGCAACTCAGAGTAAAACTACGTACTTTTTATTTTTAAATGTTGATAACAGATACACTGAAAATAAATTTCAGGTTTATCCATCGACAGAGAATTTTGCAGCACTAATGACGGAATTCTTTTTTTGTTCGAATTAATTAAAACATATTATGCCACTGAGTCTAATGTTACCTGATTTTTGGATGTTTCTTAGTTAATGTCGCTTAATAGTGTAATTTACCTTTTAGTTATGCTAAAACTCCACAGAGCCGCTTAAATATATACCAAAGTAAACGATTTTTATCATTTTAAACATTGAAAACAATATTCGAAAGTATACTTAAAATATAATTTACTTACTACAACAGTCGGTAAAACCACAATGTGCGCTAATTTTTGAAAAGTTCCAAAAGCACTTAACCAAGTACGATTAACCGTTCGAACCACATTGTCACTCCACTGGTATACTTGACTGAGAATATAAGAAAAGAATATATAGTTATGATTGATAGAACAAAACGTTTATTATTGTTAAGCTGAATATTTTTCCTGATTGTAGTGAACAAGAACACTAGTGGGGACAATCGAATGTATTTAACACAAAATTACAGGACTTGTTAATAAAATGTAACAATCATAAAGTAAATGCTTAATTTGCAAAATGTCCATCAATTGTCACAAAATGACTCAGACTTCATTGTTGTTGCATTTTCATACAGATTGCATTCTGTTTCCATTCTTTACTGTTCGATCCTCTTGTCTCTCTGCTTCCAGACTTTCTATTCACGACTAGCACCATATACTACTAATGTCATTAAATGTAGCACACACCATATGATTAAGTGACTTGTTAAAATTGCAACTTTTGATTTTTATATGTAGGGACATATATTGAAAAATAATCATTCATCATTCTGACATGTTTTACTTTCCATGAAAATATACTTAGTTTTATGACTCAAAATGAATGGGTATTATAAATTGTAAGATAGAACGTAGCAGTCTTTACAATGTTTATTTAAAATTAGTTCAACATTAACTTAAACTATTTACTAAACAGCAATTTCACTCTTATCCATAATTAAGTATATCAACATTGAATTATAAGATAAATCAAGCTCAGATAATCTAATCGCTTAAGATTTGAATCTATCAAGCTGAAAAAAAAAGAACGGAATGATGAATTATAGAAAGAAAAGATTTCTTAACTAAAAACCTTAACCATAGTAAATCTAAAGTGTACCTATAAAAAAGAATGAAAAGGAGTTGATGAAACAAGTTTTAGAATTTACTTTGTATGTAGGTAAACTTTTGTTAATATATAAAATTTTAGTATAAAAAAAACTTGAATTGTTTACTGTTAGTTTATTTGAAAATAATTAATTTAGGGATATTTAGATTGTAAGTAAAGAAAACAATAACAACAACAACAACAATAAAAACAGTATTATTGTAATAGTAGTTGACCGTTACTCATTTTCTTAGTTTCTTAGCACACGTTTTTTGTGTAGATTAAATGAAATCATCTCGAGGTTGTTTTTCTTTTCTTTTTTTTGTTGTTGATTAATTTTCTCCTTATTTTAAAGATGACTATTTCATACATTAAATTATTTGTATATGTAATTTGTTTATTATTTATAAGAGATGAACTAATAAATTATTCTAAATTATACTACTATTGAGTCACTAAATTTTTTTCCATTCAACAAAAAAAAAACAAAATTATTTATTTGAGAAACAGGGACAATTTTGTGTAGAATTACCCAATTTTCACGATTATAGTTTGTAATTAGTTGTCAGTTATAAAATATACAACTAATGGATCAGTCGTCATTAGACTCAATAGTTAATAATAAAATAAACAAGTATGTTTGAATTAACGATAAAATAATGATTTCATTCTTTTCAACTAGAACATTTTTATTTACAAATCATCTAATGATATTAGTGTTAGTTGTTAAAACTGGTTATTGCATAATTTATAAACATTCGAAAAAAAGTGTTCTGAACTGGATTAACAGTTGAAATATCAATAACCTTCAAGAAGGATCAATGTAATTAACGAAACTTAAAGATAAAGTAAATATTCCAAGTTCTACTCTCAACCAAATACAAAATATACTGATGAGACTAAAGATACAAACATTTGAATGTTTATAAAATGAGATTATTTACTACCAGAACTTAGTAAACTAAATTCATTTTATATATATATATATATATATATATATATATATATATATATATATATATATATATATATATATATATATATACGGGAATTGGAATCAAGTTAAAAGCGAAGTTGAATCGCTATAAAATTCGAAATGGCTACTGAATGAGCTACAAATCGTAGTTTGCAAATCAAAGTTCAGTTACACTTTTACCAATGAGATATAAATGAAAGATATATTACGGTGGATATTTGATTAAACTAGTTATATGGCCAGTTCACTGCTTTCCGATATGCCACAAGTGTAAATCACAGGCTGATCATTATTTGGACTATCGGTTCACAGTTGAAGTTACTAATCGATCTGAGCTAGATCACCATTGGAAACTTGGAAGCTATGGGACTCCTCAGCAGTGAGTATATACGACCCCACAAGTGGGAGATTGTTCGATTGACAGATTAGGGTCCATACTTAAAAATAGCAATTAAATTTGAAAAATAATCTGACTTATGACAAAAATTTGATCCATGACCTCATACATATTTTTTTATATTTAAACTCAAAGCTCAGCCTTATAAAAATGCAAACTCATGAGAAAACTTGAACTTTATTTATTCCACTAATCAAATACTTAGATGAGTGGATTTTCAAATTGTTATTAACTGGAAAATTGTAAACTCTGAGCATTTTTCCTTCGATTCTTTGTTGCTAGAAAACTATGGAAATTGCTGATCGACATTTTTATGTTTAGTTGAAGGCGATAGAACTAATTACCTAAGTTATTTGAATTTAGATATTTATGAGATAATGATAAACGATAAAACTATGATTATGTGACCTTCGTAAACCACCTAATTATTTCTAGAGCAAGTATTATATTAGAAAATCAGGAGGTTTATTAATATTAACACTGACAAATGTATATACATTTTCCACAGACATTTTGAGTAACAGGATGAGAGATTAGATTTTAACAAAACAACAACATACCCGTTCTTTCTTGAATACCAGCCTAGTGCGGGTTTAAATGTTATTGGATCACGTGGTGTTAATGGTCGATTTTGTTTATCTCTGTAGAATGCAAACAAACTTGTAGAGAATCCCTACAAAAAAGTATAAAGGGTGAAGTCGAATAAGGTTAAAAATCAAGTAAATGAGGACAGTAATCGAAATAAACATATGAACTGTTACAAGGTTTAATAAAAACTAATCAAGACAGCCAGAACAGTGTCGATCATAAGTAAAGAAATTTGAAAAGCGTACTTCCTTTGAAGTTTATGCTGATTGTGTATTCCAGAGGAACGATGAAGTCTTCATGAATAAACTACTCCACTAAAAAAGTTACGAAATATCGTCATCCCTAAAGCACTTACGTTATTGTTAAGAAGGAAGTATAGGCACCATTCATATTGTTCAACATAAAAGTGATGACAAACAGTCAGCCATACTATTGAGACTCATATCAACATGTAATGTTGAATGAATGTCCCAAATTTTAATATAAATGGATTAGAACTTCGGATGGTAATGTAACTAGTTAGTGTTCACAATTTAACACGGGAATCTAAGTAACACATAACTCCTAAATGAAGATAAATATGTTTCAGTGATAATGACTAACTTAAGTGACGGAATGATGTTCTGAGGATTTTTTTATTTGTTTTTACTGGATATCAGAGGCCAAGTGGTTTAAAATTACACTAATACATTTAGAATCGGAGACAAACTGTTTATAAGTTTAACATCTATCAAGCTTCATGAAATAGCTTAAATCCATTTACATATTAATGAATGATCGCTTACTAGTGAATGTAATATTTCATGCGTAGCAACAAACAGTGAACGCATTTTATCGTTATATTCATTACTTAATGTATCAGGACAGAAATTGATGTAGCCAGCCATAGGGCTAAAAGAAGAAACAAAATAACGAAAATTTGACAAGACAGGAAAAAAAACCTTTCTACAGACTAATTTAGAGTTTATTAACAGAACATTTAATGGTTAGTAGATATTATTTACTCGGCTTTTAGACATTCCAGTCTAAAATTAAACTGGTCACAACTGGACAAGTGGATAAAATAAAACCTCTTATGCTATGAATTTTGCATGAAATGAAGCATAAAAGCGAGTAGAAATAAAATATTTGAATATGAGCTGACTGTCTTAGTAATTTAGCCAGTACATAATTTATAAATGGGGCGGTGACTTTGTAGTTATAGCATTTATTTATTAGCAAACAGATCTCAAATTCTCTTATAATTGTTTCTGTGGACTGTTGGTATCACACATACAAAGTGAATTGGACTGAATTAGATGAACTTGCACACAGTAAATGAGATAATATCAATTGATTAAAACATTTACACACTAACTAACAGTCAGGCCATGACCAAAATGAGGGTACTGACCTCGGTAGTAAACCGATTCTACCTATTAACAAGTGAATTGTAGCTTAAAAAGCTGTGAAGAGATACAATAGTACCCTATGTATTGACTTCGGTTTGTAGAATTAAAAAGAAACAAGTCCGTAAATTTTTTCAGTACTCCCTTGGGTCTATCTCGACACTGAATTCGAAAATCCAACATTGATATTCGAATCCGTATCATTTAGCACCACAGACACAAGCTATACAAGTTAGGTTCAGTAATATAACGGCTTATGTGACTAATTCAGTCTATGAATGAAAGAATTAGGGTACCATAGAATAGTTATTAACGGTCTGAACAGAAGTGCATCTGACGACGCTAGTTCGCATTGAATTACATGGTTAATTTACGAATATTCTGATACAAAAAAGAACATCGGCCTAATTGTTCATAAAAATAGAGGTCAATGACGTCGAAGAACCATCATATTTGTCCAATAAATAATCTACATGCACTCTTAAACACAGTACAGTAGATATTGAAATTTTATAGAAGGAATTGAATGCTGTAAAAATTGACATAAGATGCTTGGTTAAAACATTAAGAATTCCGATTAAAACAAGATTATATTTTTATAAAAAAGTTAATCTACCGATCAGTATTAGCTTCTAGCTGACAGTGTGCAGCATAACCTAGGACTTTTGCAGTATTACATCTATGTGTTCTAAGCGATGAAATATAGAGTATGAAGTTGGCACGGTATATACCTTCGCCCTTGTGACCTGAAATCATTGAGGTTCCATTATATATAAACCTGCACTGCTGATAAAAACAAGTGAAAATTTTCAATAAATAAAAAAAGGCTTTTTACATTTAAATGTGACACTGGAATGTTTATAGGTCCACATTTTGTCCATTCCACACAACCATTGACACAAAATGTCAAGAGTTGATCATCAAAAGTCATCAACTTTGTAGCACCATCAACACAAACTCTGGAAACACTAAACGATTAAATCGCTTACACTTACCTGTCAAGTGTTAATCTACTGGGCACGGTATGAGACTGACGTAACAGTAGAGCATCTTCCCAAAACTCAATTGCTACTTCAATTACATCTCTCTACGAAGGGATATATCAGTTAGGCAAAACCTACCTTAATATCCTGGAAATTTTTGAGAGATTTAATTGACCTATCATAATGGGTATGAATTCTTAATTCTGTTTGTGCATTACGACGAATAAGTTTTTGCACATTCGAAGATACCACATGAGTTACAACTTCAGAGTGATTTATCACACCATGGTGACACATTGTAGAAAAGCGATCATTTCTCAATCCACTGATAATAAGATGAACCCCAAAAATCGGAAATAGAATAATATCTTTTATTTTCCACATAACACTTCATCCAAAGGTTATGAATAAGTCCGCCAGAATTGGACTGAACTACCTATCACAAATTACGGGATGAAGAGGTTATGAAGATAGAACCAATAGTTAATTTAGCATTGAGAACATTCAGGGGTTAGAAAAAATAACATTATTTACTGAGACTGAAATTTATTGGACAAAAATCCGTAGGACCATTGTGGTTTGGATGGTTTAGGGACTAGATATAACAAGGCCAAACTAGGATTTGTCATTTAATTAATAAACTGTGCAGTAGGAATGTTAGTGAGAGGAGTGGCAATGACTCAATTAGAAAGCTCCACGTAGACAGATTTTCGATCATTCGCATAAGATACCATCAGACAGAGAGGTCATAAATATACACTCAGTTCAAATAGAAACTACCAATTGCCTATGCATAAACCTCCAAAATTTGTCCACTAGAATGAGTGGGTTGTGGGGATTACATAAATCAAATAATGTTGGTCTCACAAGCGCAACAAAAACGTGGATAACTTGAACGATTGACTAAGAACTAACCATAGTTGGCATGTCCTTTTTATGAGACTACAGAAACGTGCGGTCCTGCTCTATACTTCCTGCTTACAGGTACTTCATCTAGACGCTCAAGGGTTTGATTGCTTCAAAGGATCTGAAAGATTACTTAACACTAAAAAGTGTTTGATTGGAATTATTTATTGAAAACCTATCGCCGACACCAAATGAGACAACCATATTTTGGAAGGACCAAGTCATTACTTTATATTAGTACACGAACACATCTGAAGCTTAAGAGAATACAGTCATTTAAAGTCAACTTCACTAAATATGTACATTGAAGAAATAACCAGGGACCATCGCTCTTAGTCTGGATCTTTACCAATGAAACACTTCCATTTAGTAAAGTGATTCTAGAGTTTTTAAGTAAGGTCATATACACTCCAATTTTATTCATAAGAATGAACTAAAATGATCTATGAACAATATATAATAAGATTTAAAACAACTGGATATTATAGCATTAAAGGGCGATCTTAAACTGATAGAGTGAGAAGCTAATACTCTGTCTGACGCACTAGGAAATCTTGGATCATATTAACTAATGTACTATCAATCGGTCTGTCCCGCAAACAGCTTCGAAAACTTTGAGACAATTCAAGGTTATATGACGGAGCATTTTTAAACAGGTACTCAGTTACCAGTGGTTCACTAGTTTTCATATTTAAGTAATTAGATACTTAACTCCATGATAAATTGTTGATTTTTTCATAGCTCAGGTATCTTACAAAATGTTGCTTTTTATTGATGGCACAACATTCCAGAGGAAAACCCACAACAAAAAGGGAAGGTTAGCAGTTTAGGGGAATCTGACACGCAGCTAAAGTTAGCAACACAACAGAAGACTAATATGTAACTTCGAAGAATGTGAAGTAGCCTATCTGAATCACACTACAAGCTACATGTAATAGTTAAATAATTCGCAGTAAGAAGTGTCCTTAGAATCAAAATACTTAAGTGTATTCGTACCTTAAAATCTAACACAATATTCCAGTTGTGACAAAAATGACTTTTGAGTCAAAATTGCACTAGAATTTTTGAGGCATGTTCTCAAGTAGTTTTATTGCAAAAATATCTTGTTCGGCCTTGCATGGAGTATAAAACAACGTTTTGTCCGTCACTCCGAAGGGATAAGAATATATTGGAGGATATCTTAACTCGGTCCACAAGATTGGTTCGTGGTCCAGACAATCGTCTTGGCAATGGGTACACCCATTGCCATCCTCTGAAATATTTACTGGGGTTTAGTCTTAACGCAAAACATATGGGGAACATTGAAAAGTTGAAAGCGAAAAAATTGTACTTTTAACTTTCATTGGTAGTCAAGTTTTGTGATTCCCTACTATGCAGTAGGAAATCCATCAAGTACATAATGGGTAGTTCTAGAATGCCAGGAAAAATAATATATCACATATTTCAAATAAAATATTCACGACTAGATGTGTAAGATTACTTGACAAAGAACACAAAACTAAGCCTCATTAAAATATGCGTAAACATATAACTATACCCGCAGTGCCGTAAAAATTGAAATTTCGCCACAATTCGGAAATATATAACTCAAATGGTCACCTAAAATGTTATTTAAATTGGTTGTTTTTTGATGTTAAGGTTCAGAGAACTAACTATTGCAGAAGTTTGTTTGAAAATGTTTTTATTGTACCCGTTAAATCAAATCTTCCAGCACGTGATAAAGGTGTGTTGTTGAATGTCCAGAATGTTCTTATATCTGTATGAGAAAACATGGTTTTCGAAAAGACTGGGAAAGTTACCATATCCGTAGTTGGGTATCCAGGCTCAGGAACGGATGTTCGTCAACATGTTGGGAAATCTTGTCTCATAAACCGTTTTATGGCCCCATACAGGTTCAATGAAAACCACTTGTCAATTTTAAGTTTGTCAGATTATGATAGTGAAGTCATCTGTTCAAGCCACTGGCTATATTGGGGAGACAGTAGTGTGAATGTTAACGGCTGTAAACTACATATCCAAATAATTGAGCAGTGTGACTTTGTGGATGACCATCTTTTCCAACCTCTTTTCGAACCCAGACCATATTCAGAACGATGTTTGGACTTTAAAATCACCTTGCATTCAAGAAAGTTGTGTTACGTTTGTAAGGAGCAGCTTGGGCATGAGTCGGCTTTTCCGCAGGTTTATCTTGAACCCACCACTTTATTTGTAGATGTCTTCGTATGTGTATATGACATGTCATTATGTGGTCCTTCGGCTCTGCAACAGGCTGCCTTTTTAGGTCATGTCATCACTCGTCTTTCGTCTCTTAAGTTTCCAGTGGTTGTCGCAACATCTAAACATGATATGAATGTTTCTAGTCAGGCCTCAACTCTCTTTAAAGATACACTCAGTGGATGTAAAAAACATTGGATGAAAAATCTGTGTATCGTAGAAACGTCTTCACGCCTAAATGTAAATGTCAAAACTGTTTTTCAATGTGCTGCAGTTTTTGGACATCACAAACGTGCTAATAAGTACAAACTCCATACTGGCCTTTTACGTTGTTCACTCAGAAAATCATCCAACAAATGCAAACCATTCCCTATGTGTTTCGGAAAGTCAGTGTGGTAAGTCTCGTCAATAATTGGTTAAACTTTGTTTAATAGGTGATATGGCAGTTTATATGTTAAGTCCTTCCATATTTCATTTCTCAATAATTAACCGATTATTAGAGACTGTCAAGACAAATAGTAGTTCAAGGAAAGTGTACCTACTTATCCAATAGTCAAAATATTGTCTACAAAACCATAAAGCTTATTGTTAGTTCATGTGAATTGATCTTTAGTGGTGTCTGTTTATTACTCTAAAATATAGTATGGCTATAGTGTTTGCTACTATCACTTTACGATTTAATTGTATGAATAGTCAAAATTATTAAGCACATCGGCCCTTAGCATCAGTGATATTCTTCGAAGTGTTTGTTGGGATACTGTTAGTTGTCCATGTTAGTATGGTTTTCTGTTATCTCCAAGTTGTTTTAAATCTACACAATTGATTGGCACACAAATAAAGCAATAGTATTTTCAAAAGGCTACGTAAAAATTTCATGATTTCTTGCTTTGATCTATTTAGGGGATACTATCGTCTATCATATGTTACGTTTTTGTGCATTCTAGCTAATGGAATGTTAATTTCTTAACGCTTTAACCTAAGTATGCGATGAAGGATAATGATTACTATATAGGCGGATAAAATGTAATATTCTTTTTCTTAGGTGTTCAGAATTTTTAGAAATATATTCCGTACTCACTAGTAAAAAAAGTTTCTGCAGGCTCTATAACGTTCATCCCTTAGAACTTTGCTTTTGAGAAAGGTAGAAATAATTGGTGTGATCGTTTCCATCAGGTTGGTAGATATGTGGGATCCATCTAAGGGAATTAGTAAACCCCGATCGCAAACCAATGGTGCACATAGGCTTCAGGATCCTGAGAGAACAAATGGCCTATGAACCTATTGTTATCCACCGGCTACCATGAGACTATCTAATGTCACTCCACTGCCTTATGGATTAGACTTTTAGGTCAAAGGCTCGAATATTGGCGCCTTAAGAAAACCACCTCCTTCGGTTAGGGCGCTCGGACAGTATTCCAGTCCTTACACAAATCGAATTTGTGTCGAATAGATATTTGGTGCCTGATTGTACCAATATTTATGTGCTTTAATCGATAAACGTTAGTATACCAATAGCCTTCCAAGCTGTCATCATTTCTTCAACAATATATTTATCACCATCCTTGGAACAAAACTAAATTTTCTCGTTTTGAGCAAGTTAATGGTACTGTTTATATAAAACCACCCGGCCTCATTGAAGACTGTAAGTATGGCTCCCTCGGAAAAGGCTGTCAACCATCTACCATACGAAATGCTTTTAAGTTAGAAATAATACGTACTATAGACCACATCGTGAGTGCAAAAATAATTTTAATTTAAGCATGTCATCAGTTGTTTTAAAATATTGATGTCCATTATGTTGCTTAGTGTACGCAAAATATGTTAACAACTGAATACCGTTATAAACGTTACATATCAACTGTTTTTACACTTGTTAATATAAAGACCTACTTGGTTTATTTTCATATTTACTGAGTAAGGTTTCAAACAAAATATTATGCCTTATTTCATTATAATATGTGATAATATTTTCGAAGCCTTATTTGGTTATTTATATTATTTCAATATGTCAGATTAAGTGAATAACCAAGCGCGAGATTATAGTACTCAATATTTCCACTGTAGTCCCAAATATATCTTATTGGTGCACATGGGCTCCAGTATCCTGTGGGAACAAATGGCGTATGAACCAATTTTCGGTCACCGGCTACGATGGGACTGCACTTCCTTACGATGCTCCACTGCCTTGTGGGTTAGACCTTCAGGTCAAAGGCTCGGGGTGTGGCCCCCTAAGATAACCACCTGTTTCGGTCTGGGCACCCGGGCAGTACAACAGCCCACACACACAAATATGGTGTGGCGCATATATATTTGGTACCTTTTTGTACCAATATTTATGTGTTGAAATAAATAAAAATAAATATCTTATTGCTAATTTAAACTTTTCGTATCTTTTGGATGTCTTAAATTCTTTATTCTCATAAAATCTCACCGCAGTTTCCACATTAGTACCTCTAGTTACTTTCATATTTCTTCTAGGTCTAGTATACGTTGGGTTCAATATGGTACCAGTTCATGTGACACAAACGTCCATTCAATTAGCAGCGAATCTCCAAATGTTCGACATGTACCTTATTTTCCTCCACTTGTACAGTCTCTCACATTTCCTAAACAGCATAATAAACTAAGAATTCCTGAACGAATCATTTTACCACAGGTTTGTTAAAAATTTTTACTAATAGTTTCGTCGAAATTGTTATGCCATGTTTTCTTGTTGCTCTTATCATTCTTAATAATCTAATATATTAGTTGATTATCATTATTTTTTTCAACAAATATTCTATTAATATCATGTTCCAAGTGTTTATCTTATATTTTCGACTACGTTCTAACCAATACTCACATTTTTGTCAGTTTTGCACTATATTTGTGTAGTAAGTCTTTTTATTCATCTTTTGTATTCTAGCCTATCATTCACCTAACTACCCAGGGATTAATTTTCTATTAAAGGCTTAGTTATCGGTTTGGAATACGCAGACAGTCTAGTCCGACTAAGTGAAAATACTGATGTTATGTAGTCTTCTGATCTCCTTGACCGACAACACAAGCATGCTTAGAATGCGTTTCCCTCCTTTTAGGTGCATATTTTTGCTTAAACTGTCCATTTTATATTACTACAAGACTATAAAATGTGGGCTATATAAGAGAAGCGTGTGCGCAAACTCCAGGTTTTGATCATTTATTTCGTCGAAGCATTGCTCTTGTATAGTGAAACGACCAAGTATGCAGTATTGTGGTTTTATCCAGAGTACTAGGCGATGGTAAACCCTTCGATACGATATTAAATCTTCAACTGGGATAGTTTGGACCTGTGTTACCTATGCCTAACCATTGGCTACCTCGACGGTGGATGTTAGCTGATGTTGGAAGAAAGCTAGGGGCAACAAATTTAAAACGTGACACCGGTCCATGAACTTGTTGACCGTTAATGTAAACCATATTGGTAAAGTCAGACAATCTGGTTGGGGTCTGCATGCTAAAAACGATTAGTGGCTGGAGTCGTCAGGCGATATGACTCAGTCACGATCGTGCAGGTATATTCACTCTGGTTTGTGCTACATATGAGGTCCTAATATTATTTTATGCATACTTACCTGTCCTATATTTTTAAACTTTGTTCCTGATGTTTGATTTTCATCGTTATCATTAATACTATTCTATGTCGACTTTTTTACTATTTATCTCCCGACCTTTTTGCTACCTTGACGTGGTGGTCGGGCTTGCCTATCGTGATGAAGCAACCGAACTATGCTGGCTGGAACAACCGTTCCTCAAGGTCCTACCATGTCAGACAGGTCGGTTGACGAGCGGTAAGACTAAAAGCATTTAACCCAAGGTCCGAAGGCGAAGTCGTACTGCTGACTGTACAGAGGTGTGACAGCAGTAAAGTGTTTTCTTCAGACAACCAGCACAACAGCGATGCTGCCTTCCCACAAGGAGGGATGGGGTTAAAAAAGGTCGACCGTAAAAATGCACACCGCTTTATCCCACGGATTTCCGTCTCCGGCGGTAAGGTCTCAACAAGTACGGAGCTGACACAAAAATTGCCCACGAAAAGGTCGTGTGTGACCGACCTCAAGCAGTTGTCCCTTGCGCACTGCGGTCAGACTCTCAGGTCACTAAGACCACCTCTAATCCAATTTCCTTTTCAGGTACCTCCAGAAGAACCCTTCCACGATGTGAGCAACCGGGAAGTGATAACCGCCTTCATGTCTCTAACAGCACTCAAGACCACTGTATTTATAATCAACCTCCGTCTTCACTTCTTATTATTCCTCCTACATCAACTTTCACCTCTAAACTTCCTCTTTCGGCTTCCTCCTCAAGTGTCACCATAGCCAACGATTCTAGTGCTCAAAACTCTGTCCCAGGTCTACTGAAACCTCGCTCCAAACTACATATCGGAGCCTTCAGCGTACGCAAATCGGTCAACAGGCTTCCCTGACTAAAACCCTAGAATCTCGTACCATTGATGTATGCTGTGTCTCTGGAACACGCATACAGGATCCCAGTGTGGTCATTCACTTGACCTCATCTCGGCAAAACGGAGAGCCAACGAGATACACCCTACGTGTATCTGGTGACCCGATGGCCAGTTCTCGTGGACTGGCAGGAGTAGGCATAGCACTAAACATGAGGGCGCAACAAGCACTGCTAGAGTGGATCCCCGTCAACAGTCGTCTATGTGCTGTTCGGCTAAATGGCTAAATGGAATTAGTTTAACTAATATAATATCTAAAATACTAGCCTCGATAATTATCAGACGCCTAATTAAGACTCGTGAATTGCAAACACGAGAGGATCAAGCTGGCTTCAGACCTGGTCGTGGCTACATCGACCACATATTCACCATTCGTCAGGTTCTAGAACACAGGCATACTTATCGACGTCCGACAATGATGGTCTTTCTTGACTTAAAAGCAGCATTTGACTCGGTAGACCGCGAGATTCTGTGGCAGTGTCTGTCATTGAAAGGCGTACCTCAGAAGTACATAAACCTTGTGAAGCCTCTTTACTCGAACACTACTAGTCGAGTGAGAGCTTATGGCGAACTGTCATCTACTTTTGCAACCTCAAGTGGTGTCCGTCAAGGATGTCCACTTTCCCCATTTTTGTTTAACTTCATCATAGACCTACTGATGGAAATAACATTCTCGTCGACTGAATTCTCGGGTATTGATCTCCTTCCAGGAGATCCACTTATCGACTTAGAATACGCAGATGACATAGTCCTGTTTGGTGAAGACGCTGATAAAATGCAGTCTTTTGGTAGCACTGAGCAACAATGACAGAATGTTTGGAATGCGCTTTCCCTCGAAATGCAAGTTGTTGCTTCAGGACTGGTCTGCGTCAACACCTGAACTAAGGATAGGGAGTGAAGTAGTCGAACGCGTTGACAACTTCACTTATCTTGGAAGTCTGGTCAGCCCTAATGGGTTGGTATCGGACGAAATCTCAGCACGGATTCGAAAAGCTCGTTCGGCTTTTGCCAACTTACGTCACCTGTGGCGAAGTCGAGATATCCGTCTATCAATAAAAGGACGAGTATACTGCGCGGCAGTCCGTTCTGTTTTAATTTACGGCAGCGAAACATGGCCATTAAGAGTAGAAGACACTCGTAAGCTACTAGTATTTGACCACAGATGCCTTAGAAATATTGCTGGCGTCTGCTGGGCTCACCGGGTAAGTAATAGTGAGGTTAGACGCGCAGGATATTAGGGAATGATGGTAAATCAATTGATGAGGTTTTTAATCTTCATCGCCTGAGATGGTTGGGCCATGTGTTACATATCCCCGAACACCGATTACCACGACGTGCAATGCTAACCGGTGTTGGGAATGGTTGGAAGAAAGTTAGGGGGGGCCAAACCAAAACGTGGCAATCTTTCTTTTATATATTACCACCTCTGAATTAACTAATTTTATGAATCCGGTGTCCATCTTTTTGTGTTAATGAGATATGGCAACTTGAACCGATGCATATATGTGCCTGGTCCTACATTGTAGCCGACTGACTGACTGACTTACTATTTATCTTGTTAATTTAATCTCATAAGATTAAAATTGGTCGAAAGTTATTTTTTGTTTCGTTGTGGTTTGATTATTTTATGTCATAAATCAGCACAACCAAGTCTAGTATAGTATCTGTATATCTATTGCTTTTAGTTTATCACTTTCAGCCAATTACAGCTGCTTATAATTCCTAATTACGTATAAAGTATTTCCACGACTTCCAGTACTCATTTTCCGATCACAACATTTCATCTCATCTTTTTTTCCGACTTGTCTTACTAAATTCATTTATTCTTTCTAATAAGATGATTGGCGTAAACGATCCAAATATTCCTATCACAAACTCCAATTCACCCTTGAAAACGAAAACCTATCAAATGAACGCAAGTCTATTTCCTGATACCCATTTTCCTGAAAACAGTCCTTTTGTTCAAGAAATAACTTTACCAAAAATAAGTGATGTATGTGATCTATCTGTCTTACCAACTCCACCGCCTCTTCTTCTACCTGGTCCATGCAGTCGAAGTTCTTTTGAACCAATCAATTCATCTTCCATTGAAACTCGTAAATCAGTAGCACTTCCCGCCAAATGTCCAGACTTATCTCATAACATTCCTGCCGGAAATCCGTTTGTAAAAATCTATGTACGTGGACAAACAGAAACCTCTAATTGTGCCGCAGCAGCAATGCGAGACCTTTGTCCATTAGAATTCTACATTGATAAAGTAAGTTGATATCAACGTTGTGCTATGAATCCATGATTTTCAAACCATTCCTTACAATATAGGAATTACTTTAGCGTGTTTGTCGGCACTATTCCATGAATACTTGTTATATAAAGTAGAATGATCAGACAAATTGTGCAATCATCTTCATGGCTAAAAATGAACCGAATTGCTTGAAAAAACTTTCCATAGTCACTAGGCTATTTGATATCTTTCTTCACATGCCTTTCTGTCAAGTTGATGTTGAATGAAACTGAAACAAAAGTTACTGTTTAAACCAATATAAACCAAGCATTCCTTGTGTGTAAAATCGTAAATAATCATCAAATTTTAAAATTTTTCAGCAAGGACACTATAGATGAGTTGAACTTAAAAATAAAACATTTATCATTCATTTTATACAGGATTATGATTTTACTACATAAAGACTTCCTTTTCTGTTGCTGTCTGGTGGAAATATGACTTATTTATTCACATGTTTCCTTGATATACTTGTTCTTATCATGATACGATCCTTACATTAGAATTGTAAAATTTAGCTCAGCTGCATCAACCTACGATAATAGTATTTCGACCTATATAGATAAACTTTATATCTGAGTATATGATACTGCATGTTTTTTAATCATTCGTCTGTTTATCAGTTCCTGATAACTCTATCTCTGCAAAACTAAATTGCTTATAATAATAAATAACACATTTGTTAAATTTACTTACAATTTTTATGTAGTCTTTAACAGACTATGTATATGAAGCGTTTACTAATGATTCGTGTCCGTAAGTGTTTTATGTGTAAATTTTGAGCTAACAAGCGTTTAGAAACAGACAATTGTTAAAAAATACCATTTCAGAGTTCAAACACATTGATTCAAGTTGCTATACTTTACAACAGCCGCATAAGAAATCAATACAAATAATAGTTATTAAGGTAAGTCGAGAGAAGGAAGTATTGCGGTTTTCTCAATTAAGAACACAAAAAGGTGAATTATTCTCTACTGGTGTGATCAACTTTTAAATATGCCATCTTGGATCTCTACTCACTTATTATTAACACTATTGCAAAGACCACAACAATGTCTGAACCTTCATAAGTCATTCAAGCAAACAGTCAGCGGCTGCACTATCTACTTATATTTCCTAACCGGGCTTCTTTTAGTTTCTTCCTAATCTAATCATCTTCCAATCAGTACTGTATCTAATATTGCATATGGTTATATCGGCGCTTGTAGTAGGTTGTCACGTGAGACAAATCCTCATTTTACAAAAGCCAATGTAGCCACAAAATTGACGTTTGACTATAACGAGTACCATACATGGTTGATAAATGGTTGTATAAGTACTCTGGCGACTTAAATTAATTATCTATGGTTCTCAACTTCCATACAGGGCTTACTACTCATCGACGACTGTCTAGTAAGCTCTGTTTGTACTAAAATTTTGTTTGCTGTGCTACGTTGTATTTGTTTGTGATGGCATAAGCTCATAGTTAACCAGATTGCAACATCTTTTATGTGACATTAACATTGCTGTTGTAAGGTATCTGCTAGCTAAATTTAGCTTGTTCGTTTTGTGTTTGCTCAATATGTTCGCCGATTATATACAAAACTTCTAAAAAAGATTTAGATGTCTTGTTATTTTTTGTACCTGAGTTTGTGAGAAGTTAGATATGATCAATTAGTTTGATTTGTCAGCTTTCCCCATTTAATAGGAAGCTCATAATTGACACTTGTACTCATGAGAATATATATATATATATATATATATATATATATATATATATATATATATATATATATATATATACATATATATTTCTAAATTACTCTAATTTATATAACACGAATAATGTAGTTTGTCGATCCACTTTCCTATTTTTCTCTCTACATACATCGATAATTATCTTCGTAGTTATGTCTAATTAGTTGTGACAATTCCGCCTAACATTTAGATTTAATATGATCATATATTCTCGAATTTTTGTGATTTTTAGAATCAATCAATAATATGACTAATTAGTGTTTATGCTACAAATTTATTTATTATAAAGAAACAAACAAATAATGAATTAACATAAGTCCTTCGTCACGTAAATTGTTTTGGGCATGTCATGCATTTTTCTGTAATGAAATTCTAAAACCAAATACCAAGTTAGCATAATTATGCTTTCTACAATGTGAATGTAGTAAACTGTTGATTTCCTAAGTATATCTTTAATATTTTTGTAGTTTTTATTCCAAAATGTTTTGATTTTCAAGCTAAGTGGATATAATCACACCAGATGTTTAAACATGGCCACATGTGTCACAAGTCAACATTATTTGTATTTGTTAGTTTGAAACCATACTTCAGTTCGTTTGACAAGGTTGTTTCGAACGATGCTTGTTCTAGAGGAATACCCTTTAATCACGTCCATTAACATTTTAAAAGAAGCTGTGTACAAAACCACTTCAAAAAGACTGAGGGCATATAACCACCTCCGTTGTTTCCAACGAATGTGGGCATTGTCTACCCAGTTTTTGTGTACAGTACTACACTATGGTATTTGATCACACTTAGTTCTTTACTATTAATTACCACAGTTCATTAAATTTTGTTAAGCTGTTTTATTAATTTTGCATCATATATTTAGGAAATTCATTGTGTATATTACTGTTTTGTGTGTAAATGCAAACATGACTATTTATTCTCATTTGTTCCATTTGTCATTATTCAGTATTACTCAATAAATACCTTAATCTTCAAAGTTCTATTCCATATAATCGATGTTTTTTGTCTGATCACTTAACAAAACTTCTCATAAGTATGTAGTCCATTAAAGGTCCCTTTCAGTTTATTCAATAGGTATTACCTTATCTATATATATTTTTAAGTTGCATTCTTGTAATTATGTTCGTGGATTACATTAAACTTTAATTTAAATTGTGAAATGACTCACAGTCGTTAGTTGATTAATATTTTATATTCATTTGAATAATCTGTTAGTGTAGAGTCGGGAACAAGGTAAGTGATAGTTGAAAAAAGACTTCAATTTATGCTTTTCACTAATGTTATTCAATCTGCAAAAACATAGAAATCATGATGCATTTGTGCCAACAATGTAACTTTTCAACTCATCCGTCCTCAGTAACCGACATTTGTTTGTATTGTGGGCTTTAACCTAAAGGTTATTTTTCTCATATATTCATCAACTTCGTAGATTATTAAAAATGAATATTTATTTGTTCAATTCGCTTCTTATCATTGTTTTAAGACGGTTTATCCATATAAATTAGGTTAAGATCACAATCCGAAGTATTTTAATGACTACTAGTCTTTCATCATGAAATCGAATACTCTAATTATCGAACAAGTAGGTGTTTTTTCCTCAAAATTACTCATTCTCGGAAATGCAGCGTAATTACCTTCAAACTAGCAATCTGTGTACTTCAAACTAACCATATTAAGTTTGATTTACAACTTTATCATCAATATTAAGACTGTGTTTCTGTTTTTGGTTACGTTCTTCGAAATGTAATTCAGCATAGCTTTCTGATCACGTTCAACTATATATCATTATAACTTAGGTGCAGACACATTTCATATTGATTTTCTTGTTTGTTTGTGCTAGTATGTAGTTATAAATGTCTACTAAACAATTTGTTGCGATTTTTTGTATATATTCATTTCGAGACGCCTACACATCATGACCTAAAGAAATACAAAACTGAAAGCACCCATACACAGATCAGGTAACACATTGGTTACTTGAAATATTTTTAAAGAATTACTCAGAGTAAATGCTTAACCCCAACAGGTAAATTCTTTTTATATTAATATATATACCCTGTCATAGTACATATCTTTAAAGTTTATATTTAATGTCATGACTGGCAACCGTTAGTCGACAATTAATTAAATCCTTATCATACTCACTAGGATTTTAAGATTTGATGTCTAACGTTCTAAAAATGTTATGAAGATAAATTATTGAAAAACAGCTAGAAGAAAAAATATCCTTCCGAATAAATTTTTCATCCAAACTTGATCTAATTTATGATTACATCATCATCTCGCCCTCCTTGTTTTATCTATATTTTTTCTGATTCAAGTTATTATTATACACTAGTCATTTCAACACTAACAATTTAATTTGGTTTCACCAACAATTCTGAATTCATATCCTGTAATTTATTTATTTGCCAGTCCCAAGCCCGGATAAAGGAGGAGGGCTGGGCATGGGGTTAGCAACACCATCCCGTAGAAAAATAACTCACTAAAACAACGCTAACCAGAAAAAATATTTCAAACCATTTAAACTCTGTCCTGGGAGTCAGAAGGTCTTCGTTTAGAAGAACTATGACGCCTCATGATGAAAGCCGAATTCCTTCGAAAGTCACGAGACCGATGCCCCTTCTGATAACCAGAGCAACCATTTATTTAGGTGCGTGGAATACTCGTACAATGTGGGAGACCAGTAGAGTCTTCCAAATTGCTGCAGAAATCAGGAGATACAAACTAGAAGTGCTTGGGATCAGTGACACACTTTGGACGAAAGTTGGATAACAACGACTAGCTTCAGGGGGGCTTCTGCTGTACTCCGACCATGATGAAGAAAATGCCTCCCACACACAAGGAGTTGCATTGGTGCTGTCCAAACAAGCACAAAATGCACTTATAGGATGGGAATCTCATGGATCAAGGATCATCAAAGCCTCCTTCAAAACAAAGAAAGCGGGCATTTCAATGTACATCATCCAATGCTATGCGCCTACCAACGACTACAATGAAGACGCTAAAGATCAATTCTACGATAGGCTGCAGTCAATCATCGAGAAGTGCCCAACAACGGACCTGATCATTCTGATGGGAGATTTCAATGCCAAGGTTGGAACGGATATCACTGGATATGAAGATATCATGGGACGACACGGACTGGGAGAAAGGAACGAAAATGGTGAGAGATTTGCAAACCTATATGCCTTCAATAAACTGGCCATAGGCGGCACCTTATTCCCACATAAACGCATACACAAAACCACATGGACTTCACCGGATCACACCACCCAAAACCAAATCGACCATATTTGCATCAACAAAACGTTCAGGAGGACGATGGAAGACGTGAGAACCAAGAGAGGAGCTGATATAGCATCAGATCATCACTTGCTGGTCGCCAAGATGAAATTGAAATTCAAGAAGCACTGGACAATGGGGCGGACAACATCACAAAAGTTCAATACGGCCTTTCTTCAGGATACTAACAAACTCAACGAATTCAAGATAGTCCTCAGCAATAAGTTCCAGGTCTTTCATGATCTACTCAATGGAGAGGAGACTGCTATGGGGAGCATCTGGAAAGGGATAAAAGAAACAATCACTTCAACATGCCATGAGGTTCTGGGTTACAAGAAGCACCATCACAAGGAATAGATCACTGTCGATACACTGAATGAGATTCAAGAAAGGAGGAACAAGAAGACAGCAATCAATACCAGTCGAACAAGAGCAGAAAAAGCCAAGGCACAAGCTGAATACACAGAAGTAAACGAACAAGTGAAGAGGAGCATCAGAACTGACAAACGTAAATTTGTGGAAGATCTAGCAATGACGACGGAAAAGGCTGCAAGAGAAGGAAACGTGAGACGACTGTATGATACGAAAAAGAAACTCGCTGGAAATCGCCGTAATCCAGAACGACCAGTGAAAAGCAAGGAAGACGAGGTAATCATCAACATTGAAGAACAACGAAACAGGTGGGTAGAACACTTCAAAGAACTCTTGAATCGACCAGCCCCACTGAACCCACCCAACATCGAAGCAGCACCCACGGACCTCTCAATCAATGTTGGCCCACCAACAATTGAAGAAATCAGCATGGCCATCAAACAAATCAAGAGTGGCAAAGCAGGAGGACCAGGCAACATTCCAGCAGAGGTACTGGAAGCAGACGTAGCGGCAACCGCAAGGATACTCCACATTCTCTTCAATAAGATTTCGGATGAGGAACAAGTACCAACAAACTGGAAAGAAGGACTGCTGATCAAAATACCGAAGAAAGGCGATCTCAGCAAGTGTGATAACTACAGGGGCATCACTCTTCTCTCAATACCAAGAAAAGTCTTCAACGGGGTATTGTTAAACAGGATGAAGGACTGCGTAGACGCCCAACTTCGTGACCAACAAGCAGGATTCCGTAAGGATAGATCGTGTACAGACTAAATCGCAACTCTACGGATCATTGTAGAACAATCAATGGAATGGAATTCATCACTCTACATCAACTTCATTGACTAAGAAAAGGCATTTGATAGTGTGGACAGAACAACACTATGGAAACGTCTTCGACACTACGGCGTGCCTCAGAAGATAGTCAATATCATACAGAGTTCATATGATGGATTACACTGCAAAATTGTGCATGGAAGACAGTTGACAAAGTCGTTCGAAGTGAAGACCGGTGTTAGGCAAGGTTGCTTACTCTCACCCTTTCTCCTTCTCCTGGTGATCGACTGGACCATGAAGATGTCAACATCTGAAGGGAAACACGGGATACAATGGACATCTAGGATGCAATTGGACGATCTAGACTTCGCAGATGATCTGGCTCTTCTATCGCAAACGCAACAAGAAATTCAGGAGAAGACGAACAAGGTAGCAGCAGCCTCAACAACAGTAAGTCTCAATATACACAAAGGGAAGAGCAAGGTTCTCCGATACAATACAGCATGCACCAATCCAATCACAATTGACGGAAAAGATTTGGAAGACGTAAAAACCTTTACATATCTGAGCAGCATCATTGATGAACAGGGTAGATCTGATGCAAATGTGTAGGCGCGGATCGATAAAGCAAGAGCAGCATATTTACAACTGGGGAACGTCTGGAACTCAAAGCAACTGTCAACCAACACCAAGGTCATGATTTTCAAAAGTCAAGACAGTTCTACTGTATGGGGCGGAAACCTGGAGATCTACGAAAGCCATCATTCAGATGATACAAGTGTTTATTAATAGCTGTTTACGCAAAATACTTCGGATCCGTTGGCCAGACACTATTAGCAACAACCTACTGTGGGAGAGAACAAACCAGATTCCAACAGAGGAAAAAATCAGTAAGAAGCGCTGGAAGTTGATAGGACACACATTGAGGAAAGCACCTAACTGCGTCACAAGACAAGCCCTTACATGAAATCCTCGAGTCCAAACGAAAAGAGAAAGACCAAATAACACATTACGCCGAGAAATAGAAATAGACCTGAGAAAAATGAACAAGAATTGGATGGAACTAGAAAAGAAGGCCCAGAACATAGTGGGTTTGAGAATGCTGGTCGGCGGCCTATGCTCCATTAGGAGTAACAGGCGTAAGTAAGTAAGTGGGTAATTTATTTGTCTTAAACTTGAGACTTTGATTTAGATGTATAATTGTAAAACCTGATGAGAATCTTTTTTGGCAATTATTTTACTTCTAGGTTTTTAGCATGAACGGAATTTCCAAATAAAGCCATAGTCATAAGCGTTTGAGTCTTCTTGTGTGTTGCTATTAAGGTATCTTATCAATCAGTCCTCTTCAGCATGTTTCACTGACCAACTTTACGAATAAATATATGTGAATGATTGGGAGTATCGAGGAGATTTTCTCGCGATGCTCATATTACAAGCGACTAGTCAATTGCAGCCTTTAAGAACGACAAAGCAAAGATCCAAAAAATTCTAAATAGGATACATACCCGTTCCACAGGTTACTGACCATCTGAATTCAGTAGCTTAGTGAATAGCGTGATGGAGGTTTGAAGTGAAGTGTAATGTGTTCGAATCCCAATGTGAATGTTAACCCTGAAATGCAAGTAAATTCACCTGAAGAGTCCTAAATGGAACGAAACGCGCTCGTCGGATCCCAATGCTAGCAATTAACTGACTGTTATATCAGGAAAGAAGACAGATTGCTTGGTTAGATTGTATTAGGTTCCGTCTAATCTGACCGTAATGATAGGAAAGCAGTTGTACCAACTCTTTAGTCTGATTATCGATTAGTTCACCCATATTGCCAGTAGAACCTATGACCTATTTACTGATCGACACCGGCCAATGAATAGCAACCAAAATGGTAATGCTTATAGGCCTTCGAGCTTCTAAACCAGTGGTCAATCAAAATCTGAAGATAAAAAGCAGATCAGTTCTCTATTATATCCGTTCAGCCATGATTCAAAACACAAAATAATGTTCTTGAAGTGGCTAACCACACAACACAAGAAATCACAGTGTACATAACTTAGTCATGAGTAATACAAAACCGGATTGGTTGATAGTTAATTCATTATAAATCTGAAACAATGAGATATGACAACTATTTATAGCATCAGAATGGGTTTTGTGGAGACTTTTAGAAATTTCACAAGTTGAAATCATGAGCCAATTGAAGCTAGACCACCATGGAAAACCTGGAAACACTGGACGGCCGTTTCATCCTAGTATTGGACTCCGCGGGGGGCGGGTTCGTGGATGCGCACTGCCGAGGAGTCCCATACTAGGACGAAACGGTTGTCCAGTGCTTCCAGGTTTTCCATGGTGGTCTAGCTTCAATTGGCTCATGATTTCAACTTGTGAAACTATTTATAGGTCAAACGAAAGCATAAAAAAACTATAAGAGTACAACAATACAAGCGTCTACTGATTATCAATTATAAATATAATCAGTAATTCTCTGTGATATTCCTATGAGTCGTACTCCCATACTACTCGTTTCTTTACTTAACTAAAAAACCAGTCACCTGGGAAATTGTGTAATATAAATGTCATACTTTTTAAAAGCATTTCTTAACTAAATATTTATACGACTAATAACGACCTATTTTCTCTCTTTCCAAACCATCTTTATTTCATAAATTCATCGTTGTGAATTGTGACTGGTTCACTTCTTTCTAGGTTTCTTCGCTTTTTATCATGGTACTCTGTGGATTAAAACACTCGGCTTTCAGTCTGTAGGTCACAGGTTCGAGAGCTACTCCAACTGTTTCTGTCTAACAGCCTGGCAATATCCCCAACCCCTACAAAAACGGATAAGTCTGCAGTTGGAATGCGGTCTGAATCTGTTGAAAACCAAATTCACCAGACCTATTTATGGAGTCCTCAACTTTAAACCGCAAACTTAGTGAACATTTACCTTAATCCTAACTTTTTCTAATGATAACTTTATTTCATACATTGGCATTAGACATTTTCAACTTGGTTGTCTTTAAAAAAAGTCCAGAAGGAACTTGAATTGCTGATAGTATGGAGATATAAAAACTGACGTGTCATCTTTGAATAGCTATCACTCAATACTATATTGTCATAGTTGAGTCTGTTGTATTTCTGGTTATTTTACCAGTGGTCTGTCTAAACTGATACTTAAGATAGTATTACCTAAATTTTTCAGTTATATTGACATATATGTTTCTATCAACTAATCATCTATACATTTTTGAGTCCCGAAAATTCTCTTTACAATCGCGGAGTCCATCGTTTCATTCCTTACTTACATCATTAGGGAGTTAATAGAGAAATAAATTATTTAATGTGTTTCACATCAATTTATTAATTGAACTCATGTACCAACTGGTTCATACACCTATCATTTCTTTCTATTGAACAATGTATTTTTCGGTTTCAAATTGAGTAATCCCTTTAAAAATGATACGTCTTCACTTATCATTTGCCTTATGTTTATTTTGTCTACTTTACTAGACTGGACGTCAGTTTCGTGTCATAATTCTTTCAAGTTCTTCTAAAAACCTTCGTAATCAAACACCCATTCTCAATCCTTTGCCATTCTACTCAGATCCTCCTAATCGTCGTCCAAATGGTCTAACCATTCAACCCGTTCATATGTCTCTGACAGCATCACAGATGTCAGCGTTCTCTGCCCCGAATAGTAGTTCATTGGGAAACAATTTTGGTACTGCTGCTTATGGTAATCATAATAATAACAAAGATTGTAGTCCAATTGTTGATTCGGTACAGGAAAATCTAACGTTAACACCATTCAGCGTTGATAATTCAATGCCTCCAAGTTCTTTCCAAAGTTTTAAGGCTAATCACTTAAATACTTTGACAGAATATTGTGTTTATTTATTCATATACAAGAATATTAACGAGCTTTTAGAATGTTGTGAACTAATTAAACATGAATCATCAATTTCCACTGTCCAAAAACCGATAAAAGTTTTGGCTTATTTATACTGCAGTAATTATGACGCACTTGAAGAAAGAAATGTAATCCTCTCTGGACTAATGGCTTCATCCCGGTAAAATAACCACGTTTTATTTCGTATATAATTACCATTATTATATCAAATTATCCATTAATTCTTTTTCTCTAGTGATGTCCATCTTTTGTAGTAATTGTGCACAATATGCAATCAATGTAACATTTTTAAATGTTCAGATGTTGTCGACATTTTGTACCTTAAAACTGATAATAATAGTAGACGATGTCCTCGTGTATTAATTCATTTAACCACTAAATCGTCACTGTTATTTTAAGTTCGATAGACTGTAAAAAGCCCCGTCTAAAAGTTACAATAACTGGATCTAGTCATCTAAAATTTCAGAAAACGCTAGGCTGCTTTTGTTAGAGCTCGTCTTTATTTCTTCTGGAATGGAGTCAGTGAAACTACAAAATTACGGTACAGTGTATTCTGTTTCTTCCCATTTCGTATACTACCACTCACTCATATAGCATACAAACGGCTTTCAACTTCAGTCTACTTCAGTAGTGCACGACGTTTTGAACCCAATGCTATGCCTACACCTGTGAGAATATTCATTTACTTAGAAGTGAATAACAATGTCTGGGTCCTTTATTGAGGTCTCACAAACCATATTGATTCACGATACAAGATTCTAGAGTTTTGGTTAGAAAATCCTTTTGTGCGATCTTGCATAACGTACGAAATTGGGAGGTTCAGTGTGTGGTTTAGAGTATTGTTTCCTGTAATCAGGAAAGTTATTTTATAAACTCGAGCAGTTAACATTAGTTTGCACATTCTGAGGATGACGCTAATGAAGAAGGGTTGTTAACAAAATTGAGTAACAAAGATTTATAGTGTCCTGGTTAATCTGAAATATTTCCGTATGTATGCAAGCGGCTAAAGCTTTTCCGTTGTTTACATCGCATGAAAATATTTACTCTAGAACGACTTCCCGAGGTGGCTGAATGAGTGTCAAGTATCTCATAGACTCGGGAGCTTAACTCTTTAAAGCTAATCAAACCCTTCCTTTTTGTAATTATTCACTTTTAGTTTTACCGTGTTCTCTTTCTTCAAACCTCACCCTCCAACACCGAAAATCTATTTCAGTCGGTGTGTGGTGTTTTTAAGACAGACGTCTTCTAGCACTTGTGATAAAGTAGCATAATTGAAAATTATCGGCGGAAAACTCTTCTTTCGCGACAGTTTACTATTTTCATGAGTGTAACTTCCTTGTCGAGTTCGTCGCTGTCGGTCTGAATACTTTAAATCACTTGTCTGAAACCGTAAGACATTAAAAACGAATTTTCTAGCTGACAAAGTAGTCACACTAAGAAAGTTTAAACATTTTGTCAAGTTAGTAATAGCAGTGGTTGATAGTTTTGACTCGACCATAAGAGCGGTGTATTTCGATATGTACTTTGGTGATAATATTGAGTATTACTGATCAAAAGTGAGTGGATAACTGATTAGCATGATTAATTTTTGGACATTAAGTTTGGTTCATAACCTAGTGTGTAAAAGTGTGCACGGTCATTGAGTTGCATCATATTCTACAGTTACATAATAAAAACCTTACAATGTTTAATCCAGCTTGAATTGTTTAAAAAGATCATCGGCGTTAATATTACAAGTTTTTATTATCTATATTTTGTCCTTTATTTCCCTCTAGTTTTAGAATACCTTATTTGGCTGTAAATTCTGAATCAGTAGCAGTGTTTCTGGATAATCTTCTCTTCTTAACAACTAATACCCAGATAGAAAAAGATCAAACAACATATACTTCCAATTCTAATATTTCTTTTATTGACTGGAGAAGTTTCATAAATGTTGATTATTTATCCATTCTTACAGAATTCATTTGTCTATCAGAAAAGTTTATGGATAAGCTAATTACAGAAGATAAATTCCAATTTGTCGGATTATTAACAGCGTTAATCCTGTCAAACTGTAATATAGTATCCGGTTGTACTGATTCACATAGTACAAACCGCAGATTATTCTCTTTACCTTCAACAATTTATCGCGAAGATCCGCAATCGTATTGTAAAAGTAAAAAGAATTCCTCATGCATTTACGTGCATTTTGTACAATTGGACGAAGTAAGATAATTTATCGTTAGCCTATTGATATTTTGTTGTTGTATAGGGATCGATCCTGTAAATGTCAGTATCTACCGAGAAATTATTCAGTCATCGTTTATTTTTATTCCATAGAGTTCATACTTTAGTTCTATAAACAAATACTTGCTCATATAAATATATACGAGGAATGTTGAAATTCTAACTGATCTCTAAGCTTAACTTCTCTGACACTTTTTTCTCTGTGATTCTCACTCTTTATGCGTTACCAATCTCTATGGGTTCCACTGCTAGCCGCCATCCATCTTTGATTATGATGCTCGTCACAATATCGAGGCAATACGCACAGTGTGCACATATACCAATAAGAGACTGATCAATTGGAGTCCTGAAAATCGATGGGAAGATTCAAGCAAACATTACCAAGTGAATTTAACTCTATGTTAACTGTTTAAATAAATATTAAGTTTAGTCCATAACCTGTAAATAATAAAAGCAATATGATTAAATGTGAAAATTATATTAATGGTTAATATTCTATCCTTCTACGTCACAGAATATTTTAGGTTACTACACCAATTTTGTTATTATTCGTCACATTGTATTTAGTTATATCTTGTATTATTACATTTCTAGGTTATTGAATCCGTTTTATGCCAGTCTCCTACGTTCTCAACGGCTTATAGTCCTCGTGCCCTACTTATCCACTATTCTTCATCTTCCTGGTCCGAAGTTGGAATTGATATTGAAGATTCTCTCAATAAACTTTGCTCTGCATTTGATTTTAATACTTTTAGTGAATATAAATTCACTCCAGTGATATTACTTGTCGCGTTTCACTCAGGATCTTCTCAACAAATCCCTGTAGAAGCTGAAGGCATTATCCATGGGTTAAAACTTATTCAACGCTTAGCACATGACTATAGTTGCCCACTTCTTTTACCATCATCAGAATACGAACCAGTGAAAGTCCAATTTAGAAAAAATTCAATCTCTTCTGGTGTGTCTACAGAATGTGAAAGTGACCACATGAACATGTGCGAAAATAGTCAGTCTATAAAAGATAGTGCAAAATTTTCATTGGGTTTTTTATCTGTTTCTCGGTCGGATGATGTAAGAGCTGGTGCGTTTTCCGTCATTCTTTTATCTTTATGAACGTTTGAATATTTTCATGGCGGTAATCAAATAAATATTTTTGTTTAACGTATATAATCATGGATTATCTGTAAACAAATAAGACAGAGTTGTAATCATCGTTCACCCTCAAATAAATATCTAAAGGATATTCAATATAAGTCTTTATTATTTTAAGATGAATGTACTTATCCTAACGATTACTAGGATTCTACCCTCGTTGATTTTTAAAAACCTAGCTTCCTAGTACATGCATGTTGAATCAGTCGAATCTCACTATTTCACTATACCTCCAAAGTTTGGAATGTGATTGGCATTGCTTTCACTGTTATATACTAACATAGAAGTTTTTCAAACTGACCAATGTGTTTCGGGACATGCTCGCTCAGGTGCATTTGTTTATACTCTTTATATATATAATTATTTGTATAGTGTTTTGAAGATTGTTGAGTTTTTAATTGAGATCATGAACCGATCAATGTTAGACCACCATTAAAAAACCTGGAAACACTGGACGGCCGTCTCGTCCTAGTATGGAATTCAGCAGTGCGCATCCCTTTTGTACATATTTAGACCTAAATGAGTCTGCTGAATCTTGTATATACTGGTTTTTACATATTTCGAAGAAAATGTTGATTTTGTGTTATTTGCACTGAGTCTGTTTTCTTTCTTTTTTGCTTCTCTCTCAAAGAACTGTACAAACGCATTTTTGACGGAGAATTCAGCAGTTGGTACTCTAGTTTCGAAATGACTAAAAATCTTTCTGATAACTCGGTTTGTTCTAACGTCGTTGCCATTAATAACAATTATTTCTCAAACACACACACATCAAAATGTTCAACATCCTCAGAAAGTCCCACCGAAAAACCACAATTTGCGCTTGATTCTCAAAATGTGAGCTCTGTCTGTTCATCAATCCTCCATAATCCACCAAACGATGTAATTACACTTCCTTGGCTTCCTCTTAGTCCATCTGATGCATTTTGTTTCCAGAGTTTAAGGTCACTTCCAACTCAAAACTCTTTTTCTAGAACTCTTTGTCTGGAAACTACTCATGCAAATATTCGGACGCTTGACAATCATAGGCAACTGTTTCGATCAAATATAGTAAGTTAGCCTAAATGTATTCATCTACTATTATTAAGTTGCCTGTTTGTCCTCGAATAAGCTGTGATAATAAATCCTATTGTTTTGCTTCTCCTTTTTATTTTTTTAATCACCCATTTAAATGTTTGTGATTTATAATTTTTTGACAATTTCAGTCCAATAGAATTTAAGGACTTCACAATATAACATTTTTGTGTACAAAGTATGTTTATACGTTGTACAGTATCGTATTATTTACTTGTCTTGAGATAATCATGTCTTCTTACTTGATATTATTTGACAACTAATGGATTTCATTCTATCGTTTATTATCTAGAGAAATTCTTGTAAACCTTTTATACACTTATGACAAGCTTTATTATTCTTTGTATTGTCATGTACTCAAGTTGAATAACTGTTAATGTACAGGTATGCTAAACAGGTTCACAACTTACTGACATATGAAAAAGTCTAGGTACTGTCAAATCACTGAAATGATGTTGTAAAAGCGTGAATCGTCAAATATAGACCGTTGTTAAACAAAGCGCCATGGTAGTTGTAACGTACATACCGCATAAAAATGATTTAACGAAGAACTTTAGTAGTAAGTGATACCAAGATTGATCCTGAAAAGCTTAGTCACCCACTAAGTATGCCTTCAAATGAACTCTGTTATTTAATGATAGCATCGTGAACAGCACAATCAAATTCATGCGTGTGATTAAAACACTGAATCGTTGTTCGTGATGGTGCATGTGAAGTTTACGTGATACTGTGTAAATTTGAGTATACGTCTTAGTAAGCATTAGAATTAAGCAATCTTTCTTTAATACATAATAACTCTGTTTGAAGCTACTCTAGCAACAGGTTATTGCCAATTATTGTTGAAGAATAGTTATCTTCTGAGATGGTTATAACTCGCGATAATCGCAAGGGTTGGAAGAAAGTTGGGGACGGCCAAATCAAGATGTGGCATTAGTCCATGAAAACATCTAACCGTTGGAATACATTGCATAGATGAGTACAGACTACCTGGTTGGAGTTTGCGCAATTATTGCAACCGATAGTTAGACTTAAGGTGATATAGCTCAAAATCATTCACAACGCAATAAGTCCATTCACTCCGTATCTTCCCTTACTTTTTAAGTACAAAGCACAAGCCACCATTCAACAGATCTGACACTAAGTTTCTAAAACTACCTTTCCAAAATCTTTTATTCAGCTAATCCATATTTTTTCCTCGAATTGCATATATACCTCATCGCTTATATTACCACTAATACTGTTGCTACCTCTACTACTCTACTGTTTCCCTTGAAAATTTCTCGCTTTACTAAACTGGCGTGACAACTTGAACGCATCCTCACATGTCCTTAGTTCTAAGTTGTGTATGATTGACTGACTACAACTAAATTAAACTTTCAAACGCTCCTTCATTTTTACCTTTTTGAAAATGCCTACATTTCAGCGCAAAAACTATTCCTCAAATAGGATCAATATTACTTAGATTATATCGAATCTGTGTGATGTACGTTTTTGTATGTAAATCTAATTGCCCTTTCACGAATTCAGTTATAAGTTTTAGATTTCATAAATTCCATGTTTGTTTATTTGAAATAGCACACAGAAATAATGTTAATTTACGTATTACTTTTGGCATAATTCATTGTACATAGTCATTAGAAAATATTTGCATAACTTTTTAGAATTCCTATATTCTTCATCCTTTGGGTTACCGTAGTAACCTCTGTGTCATATTTATTACACAAGTTGATATTCCATTCCATATAACTCATACTTATTATCGTCTGAAGGTTTTTGTGTGCTTGCTTAAATATTCTTCATTTTTGATGTACTTTAAATGACATTTGTTCAAGTACACTAGATTACCACCGCAAAGTTATGTATAGATCTTTCTTAATTGGATTACTACTTATTTAATTTTCTGTTTAATATTTCTCTTGGAAAGCTCAATTCTACAGAGTGTGGTATCTTACCTTCGACAATATGTGAACAAATGTGTCAGATGTCTCAGGCTGGTGTATTTTGTTCAGTATGTCCACAGTCATGTCCCACAGCTGTTCCTTTACCCAGTATTAACTCTTCTGTAGAAGAGTATTACGCCGAACTTCCCAAAGTAACTCAATCAGTTGTAAGTATATTTTCTTCCTTCTTCACTGTGTACTTTTTTGTGTACATATATCGGACAATGAATATTACCTTTAAATGTCCAGAATTATTTTTATTACACTTAGTGATTTCACTTATAGTTAGTCAAGGTAACCATAATATTATAAGCTAGGATTCGATAATTTATACTCAACTTTGAAAAGCTTATCTCAAATGTTTCTTCTCTTGTACTCTGATAGAACTTCAGTTTAGTTCGATAGACCTAAAAAATTCCTGTGAAATACATGAGTTTTTTCGAATGAATTATGATTGACATAGGCATGTGTTGTAAAATTCCCATGTAAAATTCCCATTTTAATTAACACAGTACTAGGTGAATACTTTAAGTAACTCTAATACAATCGTCACACATTACTTGTATGTGGGAACTAATATAGTTAAAAATCAAAAATAGCTTAAACCTCTTTGTAAGGATTGTTTCTAAACATCTAATTGTTTAGTGCTAACAGATTTTTATTAATTTATAGTTAGTTATGATATGGTTTCTATTTTCATACGTTCATAATCCTCATTCAAATCTAGGTTATTCAATGTACTAATTTTCTTACAAAATTTACAAGCAAAATTTTTTAAAGTTATTGGAAGTGGTTTTTCTCTCTCAAACAACTCTTAGAAGTTTGGTAAAGATGGACCTTTTCAAGTCACGAATTTGTGATATTTTCACCTCGCGAAAAACTTAAATATGATCGTTTGAAGTTACATGTCTAATAACTGAACCTAATAGCAACAACAACAAATATCACTACAAATATCCGTGCGTTTTCTAACTTTATTATTTATCATCAAATCAGATCTATAATCTTTGTTCAGTTTCTTAATAGTTATTGACTGAGTTAATCAAATAATAAATTTTTGTTTATTAGTTTTACTGTCAAAATATGGTTACTTGTCCACTATATAAACAAATTATGAAAGGATTTATAGAGTTAATAAAATTTTCGTTGTTTTAAACCGCGGATTGATCTTAGTTATTGAGAGGCCGTAATCAATGGAGTTTAACGATATCGGATGTGAAACAATCATCTACCTCCTTAGTTGAAATTAGACATGTACAATATTTGATCCCTGCTCAATGGTTTAAAGTGTTCGGATCCAATACCGAGGTTTCTAAGTTTGCTTACCAGGTACAGGGTTGCTAATAAGCACTGCTAAGAACGAGACAACCGTCCAGTGCTTAAAAGTTTTCTATGTTTATCTAAATAAGATCGGTTCGTGATTGCAAAATGAAAATAGAAATAAAATTCAATAAGTGTAGATTATTCTCTATACTGGGTTACTCTTTATCAGTTCGTTGTTTTCAGTGATAGTTTAACTGTTTTTTACTGTTTGTGCTTTCTTTTGTTTTCAGATATTAAAACTTCCACTAAATTATTTTCAATGATGAAAATGACAACTTTAAGTTAGCGTTTACTTTTCACTTGTTGTTTTTATGTATTAGGTTAGTAACTGGATGGTCATCGTGTTTCTCTGCTCCTTGTCGTTGTCTTCCATAACCTTTTTTGTTTGTTGATCTTGTTCAAAAAAGTTTCTTTCCAAGTTTGGATGTGTTTGTTGTAATGGAGTTCTATTCTGTGCGTGAATATATACATATGCTTACATTTAACATAACGATTTCGCTTTACCTTATTTATGCAGACTTTAGAACTGGATTCACGTCGTCCTCATCCTAATCGACCTAAAAGACCTCATCCATGTACCGATTCCGCTCATTCTCATTCACCGTCTCCGTTATTATCTAACGACCAAAATTTATTACCAACAACCACAGCTTTCAATCAGTCGATAAATGACCTGTGTTCTAAAAATGATCTGTCCCATATTAACGGTCACCAAACATTAGATAATGGTTCAACCGTTTATGCTGAAGTTAACGATGCCTTCGTTTACAAAACACTTTCTCATTGTTCTTCATCAGGTTTTATTCCTACCAAACTATCCTCACATATAGATCATTATGAATTAACAGATTCTGTACAGCAACTTAATAATTTAACTTTGTATCCGAATTTTTTAAATTCTCCGTACACCTCCAAAATCCGTGATAATACTCATGTACATGGTAAGTCTTCTAAATCCTAACATTTTACTGTTGTCCAGTTCGTGTGTAATTAGTGTTTTAAACCTTTTTTCTATAACATTAAGTGATTCTAGACATCAAAAAGCAAAACATATTTCCTGTTTTTTATATTTTAAAGAGCTCTACAGTTAAAAATATGGCACCACCCTTTTGTTTATTAATAAACGTTCAGAACTCTGATCCAAACATAAAAGAAAAGACTGGTTTATATATAACATTTCGTAGTTAGTCTTTCGATACTATGTGTAAACCATTATATAAATACTTCAAAATTGACGTCGGTAAACATCATAACATACAAAATCCGAAATGCTAAAAAATGTACGGTTCACCTATTCCTTTGGACGAAGGTACATGAGCTGCGTGTAGTTAATACCCGCTTTCATCACGAATATAAGAAGATATTCCCCCTTGGTTCTACAAATATGAAAGGAGGGTGACTAGGAGTTCTGTCCTTGATCGTAATTATTTAACCAATCTACATTGATTTTAATTTTACTTTTAAAATCCTTCTTTACAGAATCATACTTTCATAAATATGTTTATATATCTTGATAATAGATTCGTTGGCAAGAGATCTCTTCATTCAATTTTGTTTTCAATGTTCTTATATGAATTGTAAAATTACGGATATTGATGTTGGACTCAGGAAAACTCATAACATTGTTCAAAACTACATTGTATCATCTCGACTCATTTTCTTTAGACTTTCTCAGCTGGGTTCATTTCTCGAATTAATGCATGCCTTAGTTTGAGAAACGCTATTCATTAATATTTAACAGCTGATATGTACTCACAAAGATATCGTTTATAGGATTGATATCCCTTTCATTTGTTTTTATACTTTACTAGTGGAATATAAAATAATTAAGCTCCACTATTTGCATCATTAATCAAATAGACGATAGTTGATTGCATCCGACATGAACTCTAGTTATTTCACACGGCTTTCTTTCATACCTTGCTCCAGTCCTGTATCCCACTTTCTTCTTGTTACTAGAACTTCAATATGATATCGTGTCTCAGAGATTTCGCAAACAGTATTTTAATCACGATTTCTCTAACATTACAACCAAATTTTTTATTATAAGGGTTGTGACTACTGTTTTTTTTCAGTATCATTACAGAGATATTATTTGAAACACAAGATAAGTGAAGAAATATTTCTCTTCACTTAGTTCCTTATTAAGGTTCCATAATAATATGTAAGTTTTACAGTTAAGAATAAAATCAATACCAATTAAATGGTGATCGGTCACCTTAACGATTTTTTCTTTTAAACTAATCAGTTAAAAGCTCATTAAATGTGATTCTTTCTTTCCTTTGTCGCTACTAAAATTCAGGCTCCCTTGTTTTAAATAATACACGCGAAATGTGCCATTCAAACTCATCGCGTGTGAATCCATTATCGAATATCTTTTCGCAATGTAAAGCTTCTGCTGATACTTCCTTTGGAAGACCTAGATTGCAGTTTAATCCGAGACATACAGACTTACCAGCTCTGCCTTCGAACGAGATTTCAACCTCCATATCAACTCATTCAGATTTAAATTTCTCGTCGCTTCCTTTTCTTTGTATGCCTACTCAAGCGACACGTTCCGTTTTATGCCCCTCTTATTCCAACAGTTGTTCCACCCCATTATGTTCTTGGTCTACATGTAAACAGCGCGCGGTAAATTTCAGTAGGTTTTCGAGAGTACCAAATGTTTCAGTTTCTGGCATGCAGTGTGTTCCAAATACTTTTCATCTCAAATCTTCTACGTTTGTTGGACCTGTGATGCCCATAGAAGTCCCGTGCGAATCTCTCCCTGTTTCTCAGTTGAATCAAAAAGTATGATTTTCTGAATATTTTTAATTGTTATTCTATACCTTTGTAAATCGAGCGTGTTGTAAAAAATCCGTTTGGTTCATATAAGCGATGTAGATGCCCAATTTAAGTTGTAGTTTCTGATACTAAAATTTACTCTTAAAAGGATAATAAAAGTCTTTTGTATTTTTATCCATCTCTTTAAGTTCATTTATTTGAGAACTGTCTTCAGCCACTACACAGATGTGGTTCGTCCAATCGTACATTATTAAGTCGTATCTATTTGTTTGATTTTTATCTAACGAGCGTATGATATTATTTAAAATAATTTGAAACTTCTTTGGAACAGCTTTTCTGCAATATGCTAGAAAGGTTATTCCCTCAATTTTATTTGGGTAAAACCTTTATTCTCAAGTGCACTTACTCAGTTTTTAAAAATAAAATAAAGGTTTCCAGAAATATCAGAAAGTGGTTTGTGGATATAATAGTAATATTAGTAGTTGAGATCATGAGTCAATTGAAGCTAAACCACCATAGAAAACCTGGAAGCACTAGATCGCCGTTTCGTCTTACTGTTTGACTCAGCAGTGCGCATCCACGATACCGCCCCGCGAGATTCGAACCCAGGACCTATCAGTCCTGAGTTAAAATGTTAAAATGTTCATTTTAGAAAAAAAGTCAGTAAATTAACACCACAATTTGTTGTCGTACTTTGACTTTTTCAAAGACTAACGTGATCAAGATTATGTTAGATTCGATCCGAAAATTCCAAATAAGCTTAAGTGACGTGTTTTTTTTGTTGTTGAAAAAACACTACGTCATTTTACTGAAATATAGAATATTAGTGCCGATGGGTAATTTTTTCGATAATTTATTCTGTATATTCACTTTAACTTTTAAGTACATTCAAAATAAGTTCTCAATTCAGATTATTCCTACTTATATTAATTGTATGTCCTCTTACGTATAATAATAATAATAATAAAGATTAGTATTATTAAAGTTCTTGAAATAATTGTGTTTTTTTTTTATAGAAAAAATTGACTTATGTTGTTGATTCGGCTGTCACTAACGTATCACCTGTTACATCCGACTTGTCAATTAATCGAAAACGATTTCCACGGAATATTTTATCCAGTGCTATAAAGCGATATAATATTTGGTCACGATATATGTTGAACAATAGTCATAATTCAAGTAAGTTATTAACATGTATTCCTGATAAATATACTTTCCAATATTCTTTTAATCTCATTCTCTACTGTTATGCATGTCTGTTGATTGGTCAAGTTAATAAAGTATTTCAAAAATACGTGTACTTTATTTATGTCAGTCAATAAATGTAAGTTTTTATGGTTTAGATTTAACATTTCTTAAATCGTTTTACTTTTGCTCTTCTTCAAATCAGTTTATAGCCTTAAAACTGATTAAAGATTTACAGTAAGAGCGATGATCAAATGTTGTTGTGCTTGGTGAATCCAACCTTGCTATGTGAATGAGAATACTACGAATGACAGGCAGGCCTCATTAGCGAATTGAATGGTAATGTACACATATGTGTCCGAACTTTGATACAAGGTATAATCAGCTTCGTGGAATAAGCGTTTCTTGTTTAATTATCTCTCAACTATATCTTGACACAGTATATAATTATAGGCATGTGACTTGTCTTGTTTCTCTCAAACTATGACTTCCCTCTTCTGGAAAACACGTCTGCCTCCTTATTTGCAACCATCCATCAGAGTTAACTGAATCAGTTAAGCACATTAAACTTCACTACACATTTTCAAAACGATGATATATACATTCACTTTTTTCATTGAGAGCTTTGGGATGGTCCATAGTTTTGTCATCAGTGAAATGGAAATCTATTTCCAGATCAAAACGATTCAGGAGTTCTAGTTGGTTCCACCTTTTACTAAACAACAGGAAGAATTTTGTTGCAATGTCACTCAAACCTTACATTCGTTTTCTTAAAATAAAACAATCATGCTAATACAAGCATATCCAGTAACACTGTTAAGCCTCTCAACTAATACGATTCCTATAAATTGAGTTACAGTTGTTTCTATAACTTAATAGAGTCACTTAGTAGAACTATGCTTAAAATAGAATTCTAATTACTAAAATGTGTCATTTTGATGAACAAGTTTATGAATTTTATATTTCCTTTTATTTCTAAACCATTATCTATATCCGGATTAATTCTGCTTATTGTTTCAGTTCATAAGTCCATTATATTAACTGCACATTGCATCAACCTCAATCTAATTTACTAACTGCCTTTTTAATTTGAATTTCAGAAACTTAACTATGTATGCAAACAACATTTACTGGAATTTGTTCATGTTAACAAATACTGTGTTCTAACCAAATATTATTCATTAAATTGTATAATGATGAAATGACTTCGTCGTAATTATCAGCTTCTATAGATCAGATTGATCTTTTTAACGAATTTATTATTGTGTTATAATATGAATTTTTAATGCCAGAATTATTCTCATTATATTACGAGATAACTTTACATGATCATATTACTTAATCTATTTTTTTAATTATGTTTACTTATTAATGACACTTTTCAAGTGTCACCTTTATATTCTATATTAACATCAATATTGTTAACAATATTGCTAAATCACTTCATGTATTATCTATTCTTTCACTTTTATTCCCATTGCAAAGTAATCTTTTCAACACATTAGGAAATAATTTATTTTAAATAAACTATTTTGCGATTTTTTTCTTATTCAACAACAATAATCGTTCACTTCTCACTAAATTAAGTGTAACATATGCTAATACACATATAAACACGCAAGTTTATTTCTTTAGAAAACCACACTGAAGTAGGAACATTTTAATTTTGCAAATTACTCTAAAATACCACAATTAAATAATGGGTTTATTAAACAATATGAATGTAAGTAATAAAAACAAGCACACTCTACAGTAGTAGTTAAATTTGAAAAAAACGATGTGCGCTTCAAAAGGTCATGCTGGTATTGTTCTCACACTCCACATGTCTTGTGCTTCAGTAAGGATTGTTTAATCAACCGGATGCTTACCTGACAACACTACTACCGTCGAGCTTATTAACAGTGATATGAAATCGTTCGTTTGCACAACTGAAACCTCTTTCTAACGACGATCTTATTCCGTATGGACTGTCTGTTTTCACCCATTATCGGAGTATCTCATATTTCCTTGATCTACCATTTTACTCCAACAAAACTGCGCACTCCCACAAACTGTCAGAGAAAAAACGGTCGCAGTTCTCAAATCTTTCCAATCACTTCTCCATCGAATAACACACAATCATCTTAACACATATAGACTTAGTCAAGACAATGTTATCATCGTTGTTGAGAAAACGACCAGCAATCTGAATGAAATCTCAACCTGTTAGATAATTGGAAGTAGTCGGGAGAAAAAATTGCTTGTCAAAAAGTGATTTGTATCACCAATAGTTATTTCACTGACAGACAAAGAAGCAAAAACATTAAAACAGCTTGAGATGATAAAAATAAGGGAGACATCAATATTGATAGTTTTATAAGAGGTGGAAAGATTAGTGGTGATAGTTCCGTTGTTGTGTTTCGTCATGAGGCGACTCACTACTGAGAATGTGTATATAAGTAGTATGAATGGTTGCATGCACTGTGGATGGAAAGTGTTGCTGAGCAGTGTTGTTCGACGTTGATGCAGTTGATAATGTCGATTTTGGTGTGTATGTTGATGTTGGGTGTGTGTGTGTTAGTGAAATGGTGCTGTTCAGTGTGGTGTTTGTGTATGTGGCAGTGTTTGATGTGCAAATGGATGGCTGATGGTTTTGTTTGAGTGGCATGGTGGGGACGTGTTGATTGGGCTTGTCTGGTTGACTTTGCGCAGTGGCGGTACCGTAGCCAATGAAGTTTATCTGAGGCGCGGTTATTGCTAGTTGAAAACTACTCCCAATACCCCGCACCGATGGCGTGAAATATCGTTGTCGGATGCAATTTTTCTAGGCCGTATCTGGCCCAATTCACACAAAACAACTAATCATCGCTCACTCTCATACACTTGCACGACCGACCACACTCATACACCAAAACTGCATCATCATCATCAACAACAACAACAGCCATATTATCAGTAATTCCAAAACTGTTATAACTAACACTACTACCATTACTATTATTATTATCATTAATAATATTATTATTATCATTACTACTATTATTGCTACTACTACTTCTACTGCTAGTGATACTGATTCATATAATCCCACAAATACTCCTACTAATATCAACACCAACACAACAACAACAAAAACAACTGCAATAATAATAATAATTACTACTACTATTACTACAAATGCCGATAATGACAAATATCATACAATCGGAAAATTACAACACACAATAACACACTCAACTCTCAGTTATGCGCACAACTCTCCTCAGCATTGTTCTCATGCAGCATCAGCAACAACAACAACAACAACAACAACGCATCATACATTCATGAACAACACTCAACACAACACAAACCTACATTACCGCATTCAATCGTTGTGTGCGTCGTGTACGAACAGTCGCACGCGCACATACTCGCAAACACATTCCATGTCACACGTGAACTCGTCGTAACAGTGCAGGTGGAACTCAACACACAGTGTCAGTACATATCGATCAGAAACCACACGTGGTGATGACGATCACACTGGTCATTAGCATGAAGTTGGTGATAATGTGTGATGTATTTAGGGTAGTGAGTAGAGAGACTAATGCATGTAGTGTGGCAGATCGAATTGAAGTTGTCTGGTGTGTTCAAGGATCGACTGAGATACTTATTCGTTGAGCCGCTAACATATTCAGCCTCTCACTCTCTCATCATACATGATTATCTGTGTATATAGGAATTATATAAATAGTTAGATAGATATTTGTACATGGGATTGTGCACAGTGGTGTGGTGATGACTTCATTTGTTGTGTGGGTGTTTATTTACGCATTACTGTCATGCATTGAGCGACAATAAGCAACGAAGAGACAATTCTCAGTGAGGTGGTTTGTCAAGTGTGGAAGGGAGCAACTCACATTTGTGTTTGTATGTTTGTGTGTGTGTGTGTGTGTGTAGATGATTGATGGTGAACAGTGGCTAATTCGTCTGCAGTTGACCGATGTATCAATGTGGTGGTGATGTGTTAGAGAAGTGATGGTAGAAGTTGAAGAAGTAGTGGTAGTAGTAGTAGTGGTGGTGGTAGTAGACGTAGTAAAAGTAGTAGTAGTAGTATTCGTAGTAGTAGTAGTAGTAGTATTAGTAATTGCAGTAGTATTCGAATTATTGGTGGTTGTTCCGTTGTTGTGTTTCGTCATGAGGCGACTCACTACTGAGAATGTGTATATAAGTAGTATGAATGGTTGCATGCACTGTGGATGGAAAGTGTTGCTGAGCAGTGTTGTTCGACGTTGATGCAGTTGATAATGTCGATTTTGGTGTGTATGTTGATGTTGGGTGTGTGTGTGTTAGTGAAATGGTGCTGTTCAGTGTGGTGTTTGTGTATGTGGCAGTGTTTGATGTGCAAATGGATGGCTGATGGTTTTGTTTGAGTGGCATGGTGGGGACGTGTTGATTGGGCTTGTCTGGTTGACTTTGCGCAGTGGCGGTACCGTAGCCAATGAAGTTTATCTGAGGCGCGGTTATTGCTAGTTGAAAACTACTCCCAATACCCCGCACCGATGGCGTGAAATATCGTTGTCGGATGCAATTTTTCTAGGCCGTATCTGGCCCAATTCACACAAAACAACTAATCATCGCTCACTCTCATACACTTGCACGACCGACCACACTCATACACCAATACTGCATCATCATCATCATCAACAACAACAACAGCCATATTATCAGTAATTCCAAAACTGTTATAACTAACACTACTACCATTACTATTATTATTATCATTATTAATATTATTATTATCATTACTACTATTATTGCTACTACTACTTCTACTGCTAGTGATACTGATTCATATAATCCCACAAATACTCCTACTAATATCAACACCAACACAACAACAACAAAAACAACTGCAATAATAATAATAATTACTACTACTACTATTACTACAAATGCCGATAATGACAAATATCATACAATCGGAAAATTACAACACACAATAACACACTCAACTCTCAGTTATGCGCACAACTCTCCTCAGCATTGTTCTCATGCAGCATCAGCAACAACAACAACAACAACAACAACAACGCATCATACATTCATGAACAACACTCAACACAACACAAACCTACATTACCGCATTCAATCGTTGTGTGCGTCGTGTACGAACAGTCGCACGCGCACATACTCGCAAACACATTCCATGTCACACGTGAACTCGTCGTAACAATGCAGGTGGAACTCAACACACAGTGTCAGTACATATCGATCAGAAACCACACGTGGTGATGACGATCACACTGGTCATTAGCATGAAGTTGGTGATAATGTGTGATGTATTTAGGGTAGTGAGTAGAGAGACTAATGCATGTAGTGTGGCAGATCGAATTGAAGTTGTCTGGTGTGTTCAAGGATCGACTGAGATACTTATTCGTTGAGCCGCTAACATATTCAGCCTCTCACTCTCTCATCATACATGATTATCTGTGTATATAGGAATTATATAAATAGTTAGATAGATATTTGTACATGGGATTGTGCACAGTGGTGTGGTGATGACTTCATTTGTTGTGTGGGTGTTTATTTACGCATTACTGTCATGCATTGAGCGACAATAAGCAACGAAGAGACAATTCTCAGTGAGGTGGTTTGTCAAGTGTGGAAGGGAGCAACTCACATTTGTGTTTGTATGTGTGTGTGTGTGTGTGTGTGTGTAGATGATTGATGGTGAACAGTGGCTAATTCGTCTGCAGTTGACCGATGTATCAATGTGGTGGTGATGTGTTAGAGAAGTGATGGTAGAAGTTGAAGAAGTAGTGGTAGTAGTAGTAGTGGTGGTGGTAGTAGACGTAGTAAAAGTAGTAGTAGTAGTATTCGTAGTAGTAGTAGTAGTAGTATTAGTAATTGCAGTAGTATTCGAATTATTGGTGGTTGTTCCGTTGTTGTGTTTCGTCATGAGGCGACTCACTACTGAGAATGTGTATATAAGTAGTATGAATGGTTGCATGCACTGTGGATGGAAAGTGTTGCTGAGCAGTGTTGTTCGACGTTGATGCAGTTGATAATGTCGATTTTGGTGTGTATGTTGATGTTGGGTGTGTGTGTGTTAGTGAAATGGTGCTGTTCAGTGTGGTGTTTGTGTATGTGGCAGTGTTTGATGTGCAAATGGATGGCTGATGGTTTTGTTTGAGTGGCATGGTGGGGACGTGTTGATTGGGCTTGTCTGGTTGACTTTGCGCAGTGGCGGTACCGTAGCCAATGAAGTTTATCTGAGGCGCGGTTATTGCTAGTTGAAAACTACTCCCAATACCCCGCACCGATGGCGTGAAATATCGTTGTCGGATGCAATTTTTCTAGGCCGTATCTGGCCCAATTCACACAAAACAACTAATCATCGCTCACTCTCATACACTTGCACGACCGACCACACTCATACACCAAAACTGCATCATCATCATCAACAACAACAACAGCCATATTATCAGTAATTCCAAAACTGTTATAACTAACACTACTACCATTACTATTATTATTATCATTATTAATATTATTATTATCATTACTACTATTATTGCTACTACTACT